CAAATTACAAGCAAAATTTTTACATAATAAGACAACGCGAAACCCCAACTTAATCCCGAAGTAAGCAAGTGCTGCCACCCTCTCAAGTTTGTAATTACTGCTGACACTTGACACTGACAAATATCAACAAGTTTAAGTGTTAAATTTCAAATTGCGGTTTCATATCTGCTGCGCTGATACTTGTCCCAGAGTTGAGCGGCTCGTTAATATTTACGCCCGAGGCAGCTGCAACTTGCGAAACGAACTTAAAACGCAAATTTGAAAAATATGAATTTCAGCAACGATAACTGCCTGTTCCCAGGCTCGAAGGGCGCGGTTCGCGGCTGCAGAAAGTGCACACGCTCGCAATTCGGGTTAATTTCAACATTAAAAATCAATTTGAGATTCACTTTTGTGTGCCGCCTAAGCCGTCGCGCGGCTTGAGTTGCCCGCAGTACCGCCCATTTGCCGTCCTACTGACGTCTGCAGATTTACAACTGTCAAATTTGTGTGAAAAATTATAGGGACATTTGCGCCGTAATTGGCACCAGTAAGTGCGGACCACACACAGGCACACACGTGCGGAGAGCTTCTCATTTCGTCACATCGCCAAGGTGGCTGGCAACGGCAAGGTTCGGCTCAAAGCCTGAACGCTTGCGAATGTGCTAAGCCGCAAGCCATCTCGTCAGCTTCAATGGAACTTAAATGTGTCAAGGTGAATATCATGAGCCACACGCACACACCAACAAAGTCGAGTAATTTCACAGTCTATTATTTAGTGTTGACGCGTCAGCAGGATCGCGTCAGTGAGATCAGTCATTTGTCTGTGGTCGACGCGCGTTCGTTCTTCTCAGCTTAGTTCCAAAGCTTACAGGGTGCGCGTATGCTATTTAGTCGAATAGTGCGTCCGTCAGCCACGTCTCGCATTCGTCTGGCAGTTCATTTGTCTAATGTGTTTGCTATTTTTCACGTGTTTTTCCATTGGCTCGCCGTCTCGGCTGCACCAACAATGACAAGCGGCAGCGTAAATTTGTTATGTCCGCGGTTGCAGCTTTGCGCGTGTGGCTGCGGCTGCGTTGTTGGTGTCAATGGTGTCGGTGATGGCAACCCTGTTTCACCGTGAATGACCTCGAGGGTTGGCAAAAGGTGGTTTCGCTGATGGCTTATGTCTACGCGCGGAAAAATGTGATGCTCATAAAATTTCAATTAATCTTGTGCGCCGCTGCCATTGCCATGCCTTTCCGTCCCATCCCAACCCAGCCCATTCGGTCGTAAGTGCTCGTAACTTGTCTTCGAGGTAAGAGCCATATCTGACGGTTGTGACGTTGCCTTGAGCTTTTGATTTACGTGAATTTATGGTTTGGGCCGGAGTTTAAAATTCAATTATGCCAAAATATGTGCCAACATAATTTACCTTCAACAACGGCATTGGGCGAGCGAGTTTGTTGAAATAATTAGTCGCAGATTTTTTCACGCGAGTGGAAAATCAACTTGTACGGCTGTGGTCGATATTAATATCTTGCGATATGGAAGAGAAATGGCAGTTTATGGACGCTCTGATGAAATGTCTTTCAGGCTGTCTGCTTGCCTCAGCTATGCGCCTTTGTAGTTGAGTCACGCGCTTCCACTTTCAGAAGGCTTTTGTTTTAGTCATTTCTCCAACAGTCATGATATCTGTTACATACTGCGGAAGCGTTTATAGGTCGGGCTTTTCAATTTGGTATTTGTTTCTGATTGGTTCCAACAACGTCGCTTCCAGAAGTGAAAAACCTTCTAGAATACTCCCACCATGAAAAGCTTCCAAGATTCTGCTTGTATTTGAAACCTCTCGACGACTTCGTTACTTTAATTTCAGTTGAGCGAATCCAATATACAAATTAGTCAATTCATTATTGTAATTGTTACATTTGTCTTACTTATTCCCTGACTTTTCCTGGTATTTGCCATCCTAATCGAGAGGGGAAATCTTGTACTCTCAAGCAGTGACATGTGTAGTTACATTTGTAGATGATTTCTCTTACAAGTAAATTATTAATCTTCCTCAAATTAGCATATTGATTGCATTTGCTGCTTACATCTCAACATTGAGCATTCGCCATACTCGGAACGTACACTTTCACATGATCGGATGATCATTGATCACCAGCACCAACCGGCAGCAGCAGGTCTTCAACGAATGCGAACGCAAATACAGTGCAGCCAAGCAGAGTAAAAAACAACCGTGTGTGTTGATATGATTACGGCAATTAATCTTTCGAAATGAGTGGAAAAATCGTTTTCCGAAAACATGCAGACAGTCGGACAGACAGACGTGGTGCGCTAGTCAGTCAAGCCGAGCTCCCATGTGTGTCCATACATGTGTGAATCTGTCTCACGGCCGCTATGCGCGGTGACGACTGCGCAGTCACAACAAATAGAAAGCAAATCGCCAGCAAAACGATCGCACAAAATGTGTCTCACGGCTATGACGGGCGATTGGAGGCAGCGAAGTGATGAGCTCGATGTGCCTACCAGCTTGTCAGCCGGACATTGTGATGGCTGCTGATGGTTCTTAGCTGATGGCTGTGCGCAGTGAGCAGCGTGTTGTGCCGCACACTGGGCATGTTGCAGTTAGTCAGCACAACTGCTGGATGGTTGCTTGGACAGTTGGTGGCGTGCAGGCGCCTGCGCCTCTGTCAAATTAAGTGTTTGTGTCGCTCGCCATTAATCAAAACAAATCAAAATTATTCGAAAATACACAATAAAGCAAGAGCACCTCCGATATGAACATCACGGGTTGTGTGTATGTGGCTGCCACTTCGCGCTGTTGCACTGACACTGCATGCATGCAACAGCAACTACAACAGCAAGCACGCGAACAGTAGAGGATCAGCGTCAATGTTAAGCATCATCTGGAGATGTCACCTGCTGTGCGAACACACACAGTCGGCATATTTTATTGCTTCGCATGTTGTTGTTGTTGTGCTGTGCTTGTACGAATTAAGTATGTGCAACAAATTTGATGAATGATGGACAACTGCTGATTTGCTGTTGTGCGCTGCAACTGATCTCAAAGTTTACTGTAAAACGTTGCTCATTCCGCTGATGAATCTAAGTATTCTGCGAACGTCTGGGAAACAGCCATGCGTGATGCTACTCAATTCTGGATAAACTGCGCTGCATCAGCAGACACATAAAATACACACATACATACATATGCATATCCGCATTGGTTATTAATCGTACTCTTTGCTGTGGGAATTTCCGTGCAATCCAAATGGTCGCAGAGTAGTTAATAGCAAAATATGCCGCTCTCTGCTCTCGCCTAAGAAAGATTACGCTAGAAATAACGGTTCTTTTAGTATAACCCCTCGTCCAGGCCAGCCTAGAGACCCTCAAGACCCTCAAGACTCCTCTGAGGGCTTCCCTTGCATCAACTCTCCACTTTTCCACACAGATTTGGTCTCAACAGAAATTAAAATAAACTTTTATACGCAACTGCTGTTTAGACTGATTTCTCTTCCAACCTTAAGCCTCGCTACCGGCGCCTTCTAGCGGCGACCAGTGCAGTTTCTAGAGCGCAGAGCTGAACCGTAGCATAACGCATTATTCAGCCAGTAGATGTCTCAGAAAAGTGCCGCTTGATGTCGCTCGCATCGGCACAGTGGCTTGCGTTCGATGAAAACTATTCATATATTTTTTATATTGGAACACTCTTCACTCGTTTGGGTAAATTTTTTTATTTTATTTTCATTAACAGTTACACAATTAATTTGATACAAAAACTGAACTTTGGTAGACTAGTATAGTGACTAAAAGTTACACATTGATGCTCTTACAAATATTTGTATATATTTTAGGAAATATATTACTTTTCTTATTTTAAATAGTCTAAGTAACTTCTATATATAAGTTGCCGTGGAGTATGTATGTGATATGTGAGTACAAAAATGTAAGGACCTTAGAAATTAAAAAAAAAAAATTCGAGTTATTTTTTTAAATTTATATATAGTTCAAATTAATTATTAAAAGTGTGGAAAAAAATTACAAAAATTTATATTTGGAAATCAAAATTTTCAATGATTTTCAAAAGTAGTTCTAAAGGCCAAATCGAGCGAAAAGCACGATTGTTATGAGAACACGAAAATCTATATTATTATGTTTGAAGATCAGTTCGAGCGAACAATTTAGTAACCGGAAATTGTTTGGTCTTGGCAGAAAAATGTGCACACCAATAAAACTGTAAAAGAAAAAACATTAACTTCGGCTGAACCGAAGCTATATAATACTCTTCACAAATGCGAACTATTCCTTGCACTTGTTTACAACTTATTTCTTATGGTTCAGTTTGTATAACAGCTATGACAAATAAGCACCAATAAATTTTGATTAAATTCCCCGGTTTAAAGATATTTCAAAAGCGAGGGACTGTTAACGATATACCTCGTTCTGGATGACCTTCGATCTCTTCAACTGAAGAAAATATTAAAAAAGTTAAGAAAGTGTTTCTTGAAAATCGTCAAAAAAGTGTTAAAAAGATAGCAAAAGAGATTGACATCTCTCGCGAGTCCTTTGGAATAGTTTGGTTGGATATTTTGGATAGCATTATACCTGCCGATGCGACATGGGTTTATGGGGCAAACAAATCAACAATCATCGGAATGGAACCCTTTTCAGTCGACGGAAGAGATAAAACAGAATTCTCTGAAGGAGCGGAAGGCCATCCCAAAAAGTGCTTATGAGAAGTGTTTCGAGGACTCGTTGGCATAAATGTATTACATTTGGTCGGGTGTACTTTGAAGGCGGCGCTATATACTTAATATCATATGTCCTGTTCAGGCTATCAAAGTATGTAAACAACGACGGTGTTCATGGAGTGATCGATGAGTTAGTGCAACATAATTACTTTCATCTAAAAGGACACTGAGTAAATGTGTAAGGAAATTAGGAACTTAATTATAACTTTCTTAATATAACTACATCGTCATAAAGACATACAAATTATTACATATATACATATTTCGTAAATTTACTTAGGGATCGTGTATTTAATAAGAGTGTCTTAAGATTAGTAATGATAGCTATATAAGCTTAATACTAAACTTAATTTTTCAATTACAATTATATGACTAAAAACCTTTTAAAACAACAAATTTCAAAGACCACTGCCTTTATTTATCCTTAGTCACGACTGGAAAACACTTTTGCTTTGTTGTTTATTCCGAACTTTAACTTTAACTCTACTCTAATCTTGCCATTTTGCAGGTGATTTCTCACATAATAAATCTACATTATGTAAGGCGCCACTGTATTTATTTACTTTATTTATACTATCTAAGGTAGACATATACATTCCTATAGAAGTATATGAAGCACGAGGCTGGAATTCTAGTTGAGTGATAACTTTTATTAACTAAATCGTCTAGCTAACCCTTAACCTTAAAATTTTTCGTAATTTATCAAAATCACCCATACTTATTTCAATAACAACATACTTTTCCTGTTGACTTAAACCTGTAATATGATTAAATATTAGTTTGCTAGTAACTGTAATAGTAAGCTTGGATGCTTCAACTTTCTACTGTATGAGTATGTAGCCATGTTTTGTGCTTCAAATGCGCAATGAATGCAGTTTTTTTGATGAAAAAAGCTCGCTCTACACGTGCGGCAATTGGTCTTGTGGCGGTGCTGCTGCAACATTATTGCCCACCTGTGCCGGCGGCGGTGGCGCGCCCGTACCGCCACCACCGCTGCCCTCGACGGAGCCGCTCTCCGCCTCGGAATCCTTGATTGAGCCGCCCTCCTCGTCGCCGACAAGTGCGCGGTACTTCTTGGCGATCGCCTCCCAGTCGGCGACATTCTCAATACGGTTCTGGTTGGCGGCGGTGAAGCTCGTCTGCGAGCCGAGCGGTGAGAGATGTACCACGGATAGAGCCACCGAGTCTACTGACCATTCAAAATTTATTGAATTGCGCAATTGTTGATTTCATAAAAGCGAGATTAGAAAAATTAAATGAGTTTTTGTGCTTATTTTTGGTGGCGAAATTGCGAAATTTCGAGCTAGCGCAAGCTAGGGAGCCAATTTTCAGTGAATTCATAGGAGAGGCATCAAGCTCTCTTCTCTCCTAAGTACAGAACTATACTAATATTAGATATATAAAAGTTTAAGCAATACGCAAGTTGTATGCCTTGTGAGCTTTCCATAAGCTCCACTTGTGCTTTTAAGCAGCGCTGTTGGACGCGATTGGTTCACTTCGCTACGCGCAGCTGCTAAACTCGCTCCGAGCGAGCGCACGCACACTTCACAAACGCAATCGCAATCGCTTGTTGTTGTTTGTTGTGTTTATTGCTGATTGGCTTGGTGAAGTGGGCGTGGCGCTCGATTTGGTGGGCTAGAATTGGAAAGCAGCATTGCAGCGACACATACATTTCCTACCTTTCTTGATCTTCGAGAGCCACTTGGCGCCAGCCTTCGTGCGCGGGCTGGCCTGGCGTATTCCCATCATCTGTACCAGACTTGGACGCTTCTTTTTCTTCATGCGCGCCTGTGCGATGACGTTGGCGTGTATTATATATGTAGAACGTGTATGTACGTATTATTTTATGCAATTGTGGTGTTTGATGATCGCGGTGGCGTTGGTGGCAGTTGCCAGGCGCATTTGTTGGTGGTTTAAGTTAAGGACAAAAGACAACAACAACAATAACAAACACATATGAGTATGAGCAGTGACAGAATACACGAACATCAAGCAATAGGTGAGCCAAACAGGGTGACAAGCTTACGGTATATAGAGTGCAGAGGACATAATACAGGGTGCCCGTACTAGGACAGTGTGCGAGTAAACTGTGATTTGCCATAACAGAAAAGAAGAAGAAACCGAAAGAAAAATAACTAAGAAGTGGTTTGTTGCCATTTTGCTTTAAATGGGTTGGGGAAAAGGTCAACTAGTTAAGTTAGTTAGGTAAAATTGATGTTTAGGACTACAGAAGTGGCGGATAGAGCCGCAGGGCAGCTGTTAGACACGCTCTAGATTACCTTGACCTTCTCGACGATCCACATAAACCATGTGGTAACTAAATTAAGTGGCGATGGCGCAGTTGTTGTGCGATGCATGTTGCGTATAAGCTTGGACAGACCAAATTTCCACTCAATATCGGATTGAGCCTGAATTTCTCAAAGCGAATTTCATTGTACATTTTTTGTGTTTTGTTTTTCGTTTTTCGTTTTTGGTTTTAAAAACAGCGCAATCCAAGGAGCAGGCATTTATGATGTGATGAGGTTGGTTGGAATGTAGGGTTGCATTCCAGCATATGTATGTACAATGGGATGTGTGTATGGGAGAAATAAACATAGTATATGCAATGTTTAATTTTCGAAGCACTAAACACTTTTAATTTCAATAAATACATATTTCTTTCATTTTTAATGCTGAAAAAGAACGTTTGTAGTATTTCTTAGGTTAGACACATATATAATATGTATATATATTGATATGTGTATTTGTATGTATATGTGGGCTTTAAAGCTGTTAAAGTAATATAAAATGATTTCTAATATTGTTTTGCTCGCAACTCTCTCACATTCACTTGCTTGTAGAGAAGAAATCGAGATCTTACCACCAGCTGCCTTCGCGATTAGACTCATAACATCATTTGCTAAGTTCTGCGAAACGCAATAAGACCTCAATTTGGTACGTGAAAGCTTTCGAAGCACGCCCTTCAAGCGCTTACAGTATTTTATGCAAAGCAGAGAAAGCTTTCACTTTTCATCGAAAGCTAAACAATATTAGAAATTCACAATAATTCACAAATAAACGAAATTATCACTTAATTGCCATGCAAGGGAACATGCAGATATTTAGACACAAGCACAAACACATTGACAAAAGAACTCACTAAATATATTCGTATTCTCACACTGAAAGCGCGCAATCTTTGTTTTTGTATCTTCTAGAAGCCTAAAAGCGCGGCACTTGCTTGTAAGCATATTTCTAGTCTATTCTAGTATGACGAAACGCACACACAGAAGCATTATATAACACAATTTTGTACTTAACTCTAAACTTCTAGTATTCTAGTATGCAAGCAATTAGTTTGGCTTGTACACATTTAGCAAAAGTTCGAGAAGCTAAGCATTTCACAGTAGCAGTTTGTTATCGTAAAGAAACAACTGTTGTTTTATAGATTGTATCTTTAAGATCGCCTTGCGAACACTCATAACGTCGGTTTTCGTGAATGGAAGTTGCAAGTCTGGGCAAATGATGGACTTACTCTAAGTTAGGTGAAAGCTTAACTTAAGCCCTGAACGGAATTATGAAAGCTGTTAGGCTGTAAAAGCTTTAAGTATCATATTTTCAATATTTGGCACGAAGCTTTCACGCGCTCAAATCAAAATCATTTTATTTTTTATAAATATGCTTGCGACTTGGTTTTTTAGTAAGGCTATAGTTATATATTTACATTAATAGTTTGCAGACAAATTGTAAAAAGCTTACGAAATATTGCCCAATACCTGTAAACAGTTACGTTATTAAAATATTTTACTTTCTGCAGAAAAAATTATTACTCTATTTGTTTGCTTCTCTCCTTTGAACCCTAAAAATTACATACTCTTTCAGTGGCTCGAGACCAAGGCATTCGTAAACAAAAACACATAATCACATAAGTATTGACGTATGTAAGTATATAGTATGGCGTTAAGTATGGTATGCACCGTTAGTCGGCAAAGCAAAATAATACTACCTGAATCCGTTGATAAGTGTCAGACATCATGGCAATCAACAGATTGATTAGCACAACCACCGACACCAGCATATAAATGCCGAAGACGATTTTGAACAGATACTCCACCCAGTACGGCTGAGTGGGCTCGGCCACGTTCAGTATCTTGTCGACCTGCGTTTGTTCGGTTGTCGTCTGGCCGAACACGGCAAAGAAGAGCAACTCAAAGGAGGTAATCGGATGCATGCGCACTACATCCCAGCGCCATACCGCAACAAATACAATAACATATGACCGAAGGGTATAAAAAAAAAATAAATATAAATAAATATTACAAATCACCACCGACAAGCAGTCGGTCACAGCATTGGCGGTATCCGCATATAACCGTCGAACGCCATTTTCCGTTTCACACCACAGTCGCAAAGTGTTTGTTGTTATTTTTATAATTTTGTATTATTTAAGTATTGATAAAGTGTGGGGAGGGGGGAGAAGAGAAAAACACAAAAAAACTTGGTATTAATAAGTTGCATGCGATACCAACCTGTATGCGTTGATAAGTATCCGACATCATAGCAATGAGCAAATTAATAAGAACAACCACAGACACAAGCAAATAGATGCCGAATACGAACTTGAATAGGACCTCGGTCCATTCGGGGCGCAGATGGCGCATAGGATTGATGTCCACGGTCGTTGTCTGTCCAAATACGGCGAAGAACAGGCGCTCGAAAGCCAAAAATGGCGTCATTGGTCCTTTTTTTTTTATTAGATTTGCAGTTTTTCATATTTTTTCAGTTTTTTTTTTATTTTGGGAGATTTGTGTTGTTGTTATATATAGGATAGCAAAATTAATCGAAATAAACGCCAAGAGGCAGCTTTATTAGTAGAGCTTCATTAGGATTTTACAAATAATTGGCAACACATTAGCGGCATTTTACGCATTTGGACATCGAGTGACTGTGAGGCGTGGCAGCGTTTCGCTAAACTTGGTTTGAGCTGGTGCATCACTCACGTTTAAAGCTACACAGTTTTGAGGTACGAGTAACTAAAATCGACATTGCTTTGTGCAGAAGCTATTGGAACCCCTTTATAGGTTAGGATAAACAAACATCAACATGCGTCTTTTGAATAAGGTTAGTATTGTTTCTAATAAAAAACCAAAGTAACCAAAAATACTTGTAACAGCATATTAAGCAAAAGAATGCGAACACTGAAAAATTACTCAAATTAATATAGACACTCTAAAAAGTACAAGCGAAAACTCGTCTATATAACTTAGCATATTTTCAGGGGCGGATCCATAGCAGAATAAGGTGGGTAGTTCGTGGAACCATATAATTTTGTGTTTGCAACTCAAAGTCTTGTTAAAACTTTTAACTTTTGGGGTGGGTGGGGTTGGCGAAACTCTCCGTCGTTAGAACTGCCACAAGCCCCCTCTCCCTCGGGGATCTTCTTCTATTACTAGCGCATTTTTACAAAAAATTTCTTACTCTCCTCTGATCAAATATTTAGAGTGATTATGTGGTAGGATTATGAATACCTGCTTGGTACAGTTCGAGATAATCATCTTTATGATGTTAAACGTTCAAGTCGGAAGAGAAATGATGACAGGTTGTCGCCATCGTTGTCGAATCTTGAAAAGCTCGAATTCTGAAGTAATTTCGAAAGATGGTGCTGAGTTGACAGTCCTCGACTAGATTTCGGTTATTTAGACCCTGCTGTCGTGAGATACTCATAGCGTCTGCTTCTCATCTGGGCTGATATCACTTTAAACGTTTCAGTTCTTTGAGGTTGGTTTTTGCATAGCGGCCCCCAAATCCAGCAGATAACTCTAAGGTGGTATGTTTCGCCTTCTCACTTTATCTCGCCTTCAAGCGGATGTTTTTTGCCTAGCCAGAGGATACTTGGTCTTAGACCTGAAGTCGTGAGCTGCTTGAGCCATATGTAAAATAATCACTTCCGGTTACTCTCACTGAGTGGCATTTAGAGAACTCGTACACATGAGTTCATCCTTCCAGAAGAAACATTTTAGTTAACAAAAATCTCAATTTTACAATTAATACAATATTCAACCGATAATATCGGCGAGTGTGGCAGTAAAGAGAAAGTCATGAAAATTTATTCCTAAACTCTAAGGATCCAACTTAATATTAAGGATGTGATGAACTGTTTCCAATTTTCCAAAATAGTAAAGCTAAGTTATATTTCTTTTGGTCCTACGCTCCAACCGAAGTATAAGAAAACACTATATATGTATTTATATTTCCGCTAAAAGTTTTTTGAGCGAAACGAAAACGGGTAAAAGTGTCTAGTGTGGTGAATTTTATTAAGTTTATAGGCGAAAACAGTGCAAACAGCTTTAAAATTAGAGAAAACCAAAAATATAGTATAAGTGGAAATGTATAATTTTAAAGTATTGTAAAAGAATTTGGTGAAGCAGTAGTTAGTAAGCATGCTAAATAATTCAAAGATAGGATTGAAGGAAGAGGAAACAGAATGAGAACAAATAAATGAAAAAAGCATTCCATCAAAAACAGTTCATATGTAAAACCGTAGCAAACATTTAGACACAACATCAAGGATGCACAGATGGGGATGTGATGACCACTCAAAGCTAACATGCCCTTTAAATTGAAACGCTTGAATACTCAGCGCTATGTGGATGCCGCAAGAGAACAATCCCAAGTGGGTATTGAAAAAGTGTACACACAACATCGAAGGCGGAAAAACAAACAAAACACACCCACTAAGTAACAACGGCACCGATTAGCCAAATCAACTTACGATCATCCTTATGCTTGCGGCGAAATTCGCTCGATAAACTTCGACTATCGACATAACGCTCAGCGGGAGTGAGGGGAGGACGCGGTGTCGGCATATCGTCTGTGCGGTTTTCGAATTGTAAGAGAAATACAAAGATTCATTTTGAGTTTACATTTCGAATTTTTTTTAAGCAGCTGCTGCAGTAATGCAGCGAGAGCATCTAATACGAGTGGTCTGTAATTGTTCGGCATGCAAGCTATAACTGAGACTCTGAACTTGAAAGCAACGATTTGTGTTACCTTCAAGATAGATACTTATCCATACAGTACTTTGATTTCAATAAATATTAGATAAATGAGAAAAGTGTCTCCAATGGCGGTTCATCAAAGACACTTTTCTTTGTACAAGAAACCAAAAATCTATTTTATGAAACACATGAAATTACAAACACGAAACACCAACGCACAAAGTACTTACCGTCACTGAAGTACCCTCGATTGCGATTGCGCTTTTCGAAGCCTCTCAAATCTTCTGGCTTTAGATTCGTAAATGACTGATTTAGTGCCACAATATGCATGGAAAAGCCAAAGACGAAAATCGCCAGCACAGCGAGAAAGCGTGCCAGATCCTTAAGCAGATCGCCAATGATGATGGCCCACGGCCCGAAGAGATGATGGAACGATAGAAAATCCAATATTTGCACGCAAGCCAATAGAAAGGCCAATGCGAAACATTGATTGCGGCAGTAGATTAGTGTTGGCCAGTATAGTTTAGAGACGAAGACGAACGCGGCCACATGTACGCCCACACCGGCCATGCCCAGTAGCAGCACCAACAGTTTAATTGATCCCAATCCAGATTTGTCTGATGGATTTGTCAGCTCGAACAAAAGTAGGCCACTCAACCAAATAAGTAGCCCAATTTCGTACCAGTAGGGGACCAAACTTAGCCGCAGCACCGGATATATGGGTGTTATGCCCACAATGCTTAGATGAATCATTAGGTATATGTGTGAAGTAAGATAGGACATGAACTTTATAATAGGCACTTTGTTGAATTTGTGACCCATCGGGAAAGTGAAGCCGATCCAAACAGGCGGGCATACAATAAATGCGACTAAGAGTAGCAATATTTTCCAGGATGCCCATGTTAGTGACCCTCTCCAGAGTTCCTACTTGCATTTAAAAAATGAGCAGTTTAGGTCTTTGAACTTACGGCAGACTTACCTGCAGATAGCGCTGAACTACAGTGTGCGCAATAACTTCTTTTTGCTCGTTTTCGATGAGCACGTCCAAGAACTCCACATTTCTCCGGTCGGTGGCTTGAAGTATTTTGCCTGCCGAGTCAGAACCGGCGGCAAGTGCCAGCAGCTCGGTTGCCATTGCTTCACATTGTTTGCCGGCGGCTACTAGGTCTTTGGCGCGTTCTTTTTCCTATTTGGAAGGTTGTATGAAATTATAAGTTCAAACCTTTGTGAATATTTTTCTAACGCCGTTGCACCAACCTTTGTTGATAAGTTGATGTAGATATTTGATAACTTCGCTGCGGTATCGACAGGTGCGGGCGAGACCAGCACAAATTCTTGTATGGGTTTGTTGTTGTGATTTTTGGAGACAACCATTAAGTTGTACACAAACCGTTTGTCTTCCATTAGGCTGTATGTATCGTGTTCTTTGTTCATCAGATACCGCAGCACATCGTTGTGGCCTTCGGAAGCGGCAAACCATATTGCCGCACAACCGTAGTTTGTCTCCGACTTGGGTGATGCGCCTGCCTCACATAGTAATTTCACAACTTCCAAGTGGCCGGCTTTGGCAGCACAATGCAGTGACGTCCAACCATTTTTGTCGGTGGCATTTATCTCTGCGCCTTGACCCAACAGAATCTCCACCATCTGTATGTGGCCGTGCATGGAGGCGATGTGTAGACCGGTCCGGCCATGACGATCCGTCGATTGGAGGAGTTCTGCTGAGCGACTCAGAAGTAAGCCAACCACTGACATGTGACCACCGAAGCAAGCCAAATGGAGTGGATTATAACCCTGCAGAATAAAATATTTTTCAAGCTTTAGTTATGAAGAAATATCAAAAACTCACATTCTCTGTCGTTGCCGCCTCTACTTGCACTCCAGCCGAGTTCAGTAGCAGTCGCACCACATTTTCATTTCCCGAGAACGCCGCCAAATGTAACGGTGTCATGCCAGATTCCGCCCCCAACTCACCGAAGAGACTTTGTCCGGTCGGTGGCTCAGATTTCACTGTCGCTGGCACGCTCGTCAATAGCTCGCGCACGGTGTCCGCTTGTCCGTAGTAGGCTGCCACATGCAACGGCGTCAGTCCCAATTTCTTGCTGGTTATCCTCAAAGAATTGGTACTTTTCAACGCATCCAATACCTGGCCATGACCGTTCTGTGCCGCTAAATGCACCGCAGTGAAGCCAGCTTTGTTCTCATCCGTGCAAGAGGCGCCCGCACGCACCAACGCCTTCACCACGTCCGCATGTCCACCTTCGGCCGCCAGTTGTAGCGGTGTGGCATCAGTCAATTTGTTTCTAGCCGATATCACGCCAGAACGATCGAACTTCATTAGCTCCTCGATCACCTTCACCGAACCCTGCATTGCAGCGATATGTGCGCAGGTGTTTCCATCCTTACTGGTGGCATTCACCAGCGATGGATGTTGTTGTAGGAATAATTTGGCCACTTCAGAGTAGTTGTTCTGCGCAGCGACATGTATGGGTTTTTGACCCAGATCATCGGTCGCATCTATATTAGCGCCGAGCTCGAGTAGAAGCTGACATACCTCCATCTGTCCACTAGCTGCGGCTAGATGGAGGGGCGTTTGCTTGCGTAGTGTCAATATATCGATGACGGCATTATGATCCTTGATGAGGAACTTCACGAGATGCGTGAAGCCATTCATCGCTGCCAGATGTAGCGCCGTGCGACCGACACGTGATTTCGAATTGATAAACGCTTTGTTGGTGAGCAGAGCGTCGCACACGTGCAGATACCCTCGTTCAGCAGCCAAATGCAGGGCGGAACGGCCCTCAATGTCGAACACATCCACTCTGGCATGATTCGCTAAAAGGTTGTTGACCAGCTCCATGTGCCCGCGGTGACAGGCGATTAGCAACGGCGTCCAGCCAACCGACGTCTGTCGATTCATGGCTTTCTGTATGTCAGTGGGATTCATGTGGGCAATCATCTCCATCAGAACGTCGTTATTTCCAGCTACAGCACAATAATGGAAAGCAGTCTCCAGAACATTTTTCGTTTGCAGAGTTACGTCTGCACCGTTTTCGAGTAACATGCGAACAATTTCCTTATCGGACTCGGGTATTTTTACCTCCTCCTTAGTGATTTGGCATGTGTAGTGTAGTGCGGTCGCGCCGTCGTCGTTCACTGAATTAATATAGGTAGTAGCTTTATCAGGGCCATGTTTCTCCTTAACCATCTCGATGAGATGACGTACGATTTCGGGATGACAGGAACGGCAGGCCATATGTAGCGATGTTTCGCCAGTCTGTGGGAGGTTAAATTAAATGTTTTGGTTCCATGGGCATATGGTATCATTTAAATTGGGCTTACATTGGATTTGTATAGTGGATCGCCACCATCTTCGAGGAGTTGTATCAGCGTTGCCAGATTACCGTTACGCGCGGCTACATGCACCGGCGTCAGGCCATCATCGGTAGTTAAATTGGGACTAGCTCCGGACTTAAGGAGCATTAAGGCACAACGATCGCCATCCTTAACTCGTGCAGCTATATGCAGCGGCGTTTCGTGCATTGTACCTCCACGGACATGGACATCGGCGCCGAAGCCCAGCAATGTCTCGACGACAGCCGGCTTCGCGGACTCAACGGCGATGTGGAGTGCAGTGTAGTTCTCCTGCAAATGCAAATCGTAAAGTGAGATATATTTGTAATAATTACTAGCCCCAATGAGCAAATGATACTAACATTCGTTGTGACATCAACTTTCTCGCCCTTCTGCAGGAGCGTATTGATGATGCCGGTGTGGCCGTACGCGGCCGCGGTGTGAATGCTGCGCGCGCCATTCTTATTTGGCATGTGTAGATAGACGCCCTTCTTGAAGAGCATCGTCGCGCACTCGGCATGGCCATTCAGCGAGGCGATATGCATCAGCGTGCTGCCATCCTTTGTGCGTTCGAAGATGCTCGCCTTGAATTTGTCCGCCAAAATTTCAATGATGTGCGCATGGCCATTCTCAGCAGCTAAATGCATCGGTGTACGATCTGCGCGCCAGCAGACAGCACAACAACAACACAAAAGTAAGATAGCATTTAACGTTAGGTATGCAAAGCAGAGTAATGGTGAGAAAGGAAAGGAAATGAAAAGAAGATACTCACCTTGGTTGTCCGCAATGGACGCAGAAGCGCGCACGCCGTAGAAGTACTTGAGTAAGGCTTCGTCACCTTCAGCGGCCGCTATATGCAACGGCGTCTGACCCTCACCATTTTGTGTGTCGACATTGGTGCCATAATCGACGAGTATACGCACCATATCGACGTCCCGTCGTCTGGCGGCCAAATGTAAGGCCGTGTCTCCATTAGCCGTTGTTGCCTGCAGAAAGTAAAGCCAGGTTTCCGATTACAGGCAGTGATAAGCCAAAGGAAAAAAATCAAAAATCAGAAAGGTGAAAAAAAAAAACACAAAAACCGTTAAAAATAATTCGCTGATATTCGTGGTGGCATATGTTGCCGACGTAGTTTTAGTAAATTATATGCAAATTGCTGTGCAGCCAAGTTGAATGTGAAGGTGAAGTCTGAGCTTTAAGGCTTTCGCCATTTAACAGAATAACGGAAATTCATACACGTGTGGCGTATAAAGAGAGAAGAACATATCAGCCAAGAGCTCTATTAAATACGTTTAATTAAATTAGATTTTGACACCATTTCACATGGCCAACAGCGAGCACCTAGGTTAATTTGTAAGTAACCAATGAGACGAACGGTTCTTCAAAGACGGTTTGCGTGACTCGTAACCGCATGAGAAAAGTGAAACGGCGGTGAAAAAAGTTTCGCTTAAAATTAGTTCATGGGAATTCCTCGCATGAGCAATAATTTCACTGCTCGCAAATGCAATGCTGTGACCGCCAACCCAACTGCCATGACCCACTGCACGCCGCTGCCAATTTAGTCAACGCATAGGTGAGTGGAAATTTTAATTTGCAACACCAACTGCTTTTGTAAAGTTGAAGTGCTGCCGTCTGAACGTTGCATACTTGCTGGCGCAACGACTTAATAAAGTGCCAGGCAGAGTTTGCAACTGCATATCAAACGGCTCGACCGCGTGCCACTTCTTGTTTGTGGCAGGCAACGGCCGTCAATGTCACTGGCGCTGCGTGCACAGCCTTTCTTGGCACACGTGTGGGCTCGGACGATCCGCCGGGTGAAGCGTGCAAACATGCTTGCAATAAATAACGGTGCATAGCAGAGTGGCGAGTGCGAGTTTTTTCGTAGGAAGTGTGCCGATTCGGTTACGTTTTTATTTACTGTTACAAAAACCAGTTTCTTTATTAGCATAACCATTAATTTTTAGAGAATTTGACATGTCAAGGTTATATCTTAAACTTATTGTACATACATACATACATACATACATGTAGCTTTCATGCTTTACCTTCAGTTGGTCCGACGTTTGAGCTGAGAGCAGCTCTCTAACCATAGATTGATTACCAGACTCTACCGCAAGCAGCAACGGGACTTTGCCTCTCTGCAAGAAAAAATATAAATAGATATCAAATGGGTATGTATATATTTATATCTAAAACGTAAGGAGAAGAATAAGAGGTCACACTAATCAGCCCTAACCTTCAGAAGGCGCCTGTATAAATTTGACTGCTGTCAGATCATTATTTTGTGAATATATATGTATCATGTTTAGTGAAGCAACTTTTGTTTTTGTGAAAAAGTGGATGATGTTGATAAAATATTATTTTTGAAAGGAAAAAATACAGTTGAAGCAAAAACTTAGCTTGATGAGTATGCGCCAGAAAGAGTTTTTTGCCGACGAAAATATCAAAAAAGTCTTCACGAATATTTTGTGAGATGATTTGTGATTTTTATGTGAAAGCTGTGCGCGCAGTGGGTCCGGGCGAGCTCAGTTTTGGGATCTGGAACAGTGTTTGGGAATATTCAAGCGTAATGTATCCGAGTTTTTGCCTCAATATATGGCAATGCATGTAACATGGATCCATGGATCCAATCGACGGTCAACGCGATGAACCCGCTTCGAAGCGTGGATAAATCCAACAGTCGGCTGGCAAGGTTATGACGTCTATATTTTGGGATGAGTATGGAATAATTTGTATTGACTACTAGAAAAAGGAAATGCCATCAATAGCAACTTTTTCGCAACGTTATTGAATGAAGTCTTTCGTCTTTCAAGCGTTCAAGCCGCCAAAAAACGGACGCATTTGAAGAAGAAGAAAGTTTCGCTTCACCAAGATAACGCACCGTGTCACAAGTCAGTTAAAATTATGGCAAAAATCCATGAATTGAGCTTCGAATTGCTGCCGCATCCACCGTATTCTCCAGATCTGGTGACTATTACTGCTCTTGGATTCAAAAAGAATGATCGCTTGGAAGAAATTTTAGTCGAATGAAGAGGTGTTTGCCGAAATTTTTCTTTGAAAAAAAAAGTCAAATCGTAATACAAAAATGGTATCGAAAAGTTGGAGGCTCGCTATAATCAGGGAGCTAAGTTGAATAAAAAAAGAATTTTAATAAAAAAGAAATTACTATGGCTTGTCGGGAACTTTTCAATAGGCCTGTTATTTGAATTAAGCTATACTATTATGAATTAGCTAAACGAAGTAACAGCTTAGGTTTTCATTTTGAGAAATCCCTGTACGCGATTTTTTTTTTTTTGTTTTGCTCAAAAATGCCTTGTTAACAACAAATAAACTCTTTTATGCAAAATTTCTTCTTGTTTATACCAAAAACAAAAATTTAACCCCCATCCTCCCTGCCGAAGAGCCATTTATCGATTTTCAGACGCCGTTTGTTTAGCATTTCCGTATTAATGCATTCTTCGACTCGTTCGTTTATGTCGTAATTGAATTGCGCCTTAAAGTATGCTGCATTTTCCACGCATTACGTTGTTGTTCACGGAAATGTTGCAAGGTGCGTGTTTATGTCATTGTTACTTGGAAACTGTAATAGTTTTTCAAACATGTTTACTATTGTCAGCGTCTGTCTGCTGTGTATAACTGTGCAACATACATATCTACAAGTTATGTAGTTAGTATGTAAGGTATGTTAAGTGGGTTCGGTTTGTGTTGAACTCATTTGTCGCGAGGCCTGGCAGTTTGCTGCATTCATAAAGAGTTCCACTCACAAACTTCGCCGACGCCAACTTATTGCCGCAGACACTTTCGTATTCACTTACACCAACAACAACTTTTCGCGTGCCAATGAGATATTTGAAGAATGGACAGAGTCTCCACACAAACCTACACATGTACGTGTATAACACACGTATTCATATAATATATAACAGAGCCACGTTTATCGTTATGCGTTTGGGCGGCAAAGCACACACAGCTGTAAGTATAATGGTTGGCAATATACAGTTGCGCGGAAAATGTTGGCATTTACTGAATTTCTAGCATTGCTTCATATGGGGCCCAGTACTCCTGTGGAAGATACTCATTGCTCCATTCCATTACCTCTAACATTCATTTAAATTCTATTTATATTGGGAAGTGAATAGCAGCTAAACATTCTCATTAATGGCACTGCAACTTTCTAGCACGCAAGTGTACTTCCGTATTGCGCTAATCTGTATGCAATGAATCACATTTGAATTTTAATTTATTGCATTGCAATCGCTTACAAGTTGCCATGCCTGGAATCTTGTCACTGCCTCACTTGTGTTTCGACTTTTTTCGGTGCTTTTCAAAGAGTTGTGCGCGGGTTGCGGCTTCGTCGCCGGATCCTCCACACATCGATTGAGTTGCATGAGTTGCGCGCTGTGCTACATTCATTAGCTTTGTGTATGCAATAAAATTATTTATGGATTTGCATTTTTATGTTGCTTGCCTTTCAAAAGCTCCCCATTTCCCTTTCACAATTCGGTTTTGTGTTTCATATTCTCTCGTATTCGTTTAGAACACATCAGTTTGCCCAAATTCTTGCTTTTAGCGCATTTGTTATGATTTTGTTATTGTTGTTATTAGTTTTTTGTTTGCTTGCCAGCTTGGTTATTTCCGTTGCTGCCACGTTTACTACACTTTTGTTTACGTTGGCACCAAGTGGCACGGCTGGCGGTTGACTACGACTACGCTGGCTCAGTGTTGGTGGATTGGGAAGTTGGTGGCACTTACTTCGAGGAAGGTGTGGGCATCCAAAACGTTTATCATTTCTCTGTGAGCAATTGACAAACTAAAATACGCTACCCTATTGAATGGATTTACTTGTATCGCTCATACGCACTGACGTTCCAATTGTGCTTGTATGCAGTTGCGGGAGGAAGGCGTTTTGAGCAGTTTTTGTGACAATATAGAATACTAAACTAATGTCCATTGACTTAACTAAATAAATGAATAAATAAATTCAAGACTATTGCATATGCATTAATATATGTCCTGGTTTGGTTTATATTTCTGTTGTGGTACAATTTACTGCTACTGAATTTAGGGCATATTCATATACTCTAAATTAATCCTAGATTTCAATTTCAATTTTCTTTTTTTTACTCACCCCGTCTACTTTCAAGCGAATTTCCTTCCCAGCGGCTGCAAGTAAGGCGCGCAATATGTTTGTCGCAGTGCCCGTTTGACGGCTGGAGACCAGATGCACGGCGGTTTGGGTGCGGGACTACGAGTAAAAAATATTAAAAAATACATTTCGGTTATTAGCACTGAACAATATTGAATTGGTGTTAATGAAATAAAAAACAAAATATTTCAATTTAATTTTTATATATTTTTTTCACTCTTAGTTAAGCGCGTTCTTGAAGAAAATATTAAAAGGCTGAAACTTTACTAACTGAAACTAAAATGAAGTAATCTTTGCAACCACTCTACTCGGCAGTCCCGAATGTAACTGCTCGACTGTCGGTAATAAATTCAAGTGCCTACAAATTTATTTGAAAATCTTCGATTATGGGTGTGAAAATTAAACAAGAAGAACAAAAAAGTGACGCAGGAAGGGGAACCAATGAGAATCGCAGCAAAACGCTCTTCTAAAGTTAGGCATGCCATTCAAAAGTATTTGCTGCAAATAAGTTCAAGTACAGTGAACCTTCAACTAAAGTTGCAAAATTAATTTTGTTAAATTACAGAGACAACCAATAGTAATTTTGAAAAAAAGCAGTTTTATTAAAAAATAAATATTTCTTAGCTATTATTATTATCAAAAACTTTTTTTCTTACTTAAAGCATTTCAAATCTCTATTCCAACCAGTATTTAATACTAAGAAGTTTTTTCACTCACTTGTGCAAAGGAAGTCTGCATATATTGGTAATCGGAAAAGTCTTTTCACATTTCCTATCAAACTTCAACTTATTTTTTTATATTTGTAATGAACTTTCATAAACCAAATATCTACCACTTTTTGCCATTTTTCCGCTAGAGACATTATTCCAACAATGTAAATCTTTTTTGGTTTTCGGTGACAAACTGCGACAAGTAATTTTCACAGGCTTTTCTTGAAGTCAACTTTACTCCATTAAAGGAGTTCTGCATTGACCTAAGCAAATGGTAGTCGAATGGTGCAAGGTCAGGGCCATATCGTGGATGTATTAAAGCTTCCCAGTCAAGCTCTCCTTTGCTCTCTCTTTTTTCCGAGTCATCAAAGATCTGTGTGGTCTAGCGTTGTCCTGATGGAAGACGAAGCATTTTCATCGGTTCTGGCCGTTTTTTTCGATTTCTTGCTTCAATTTCATCAGTTGTTGACAGTAAAATGTTTTTAGCGAATTTCTTCATTTTTTTTTATTCATTTTGAACAGCTTGTACTGTACTACTGATTTATAATTTGACAGTTTTTAAGCCCTGTTGGAATTGAAACTAAGTTCAATGTTCAACATAAATTAAAAAGTCTTTTCTTTCGCTAAATTTCATTGAAATGTGTAGTAGTATCTTCTTATAAGGTTTACATTCTTCAATGCTCCTATGTTCCAAAAGGATATCAAAAAATTACATTCCTTTACCAGTGAGCATACTAAATAAAAATTTTGCATTTAAATGCTTGCAGGCCAACCATTTCCCAAATTCAGAAATGCAGTGGCACTTGAAGGAGCTAAACAGCGCATTACTATTTTTGTCTGACATATAACCGATATTCTGTTGCATTCCGCCGACATAACTTCAAAAATAGTACAACAAAAGCGAAAACAAAAGCTATGGAGCAACAGACACTGCATTACTTCCATAGTTCAATGCGTGTGTATGTATGTGTAACGGTATATGCGAAAGTCATTAAAATAAATGCTTTCTAACAATCGGTGGTGGTTGCCCACAAATTTTTGCCTAGTTACTGAAATTTTGTTTATTTTCTGCAATTTTTACTTACAACAAATATGTGAGGAACAAAGTAATGGTGGGCGTAGAAGGCAATTTTGGTAAATCCATCGAAAAAAAATAATAAAAATAATATGTGTATATAGAGCGCTGGTGACAAGCGCTGTCGAGCGAATGCGAGCAGATTTTATTGATAGATGGCAATGAAGGCGTCAGAAGCCGCAATAATTAAGGCTTTGTGGAACTTTATATATATATATATACATATATATTGATATCGAAGAGTTGAAGGCCTCCAATAACTTAAATCCACTTTCCATTATGCAGAAATATAAGTATTTGTATATATACCATATATATAGTATGTATAACTTAAACACCCACAATTTGCTGACTTTGCGCTTAAGAAGCTAATCAATTACAGATATTTTCTTGCTGCCGGCGCTAAGGCCGTACCAATACTTAGGCAATCAAAACTAGGCGACCTTCGTCATTGCTGCTGCAATTAGGCAAAGGCAATCGGCGGTCAAGTAAGTGAAAGTTGCACGCCACACGTGCATTAGAAGGCAAACGAGAGCGTGAGGAACAATTCGCGTGGCTACATATTTGTCGCATATTTGTGTGTGTGTGTGTGTGTGTGGGGTGTCCATGCATGCTGTTAACATCTTTGTGCCACCTACATGCGCAACAATGCAACTTGACCTTTACGTACTTGAGCATGCAGGAATTTCCAATATGGTCATGCCTACCCATAAGTTCACCCAAATTCTACTTAGGCACTCACACATTTCCATCTTTAAATGTGGCTTTAAGGGCATGCAAGTGAAAGCAAATCTGGCGCAGTGCTTTACAGTTGCATACCAAATGATTAGGAGTCATTAAAGAATACATACATATATACATATGTGTAATGTGTTACTTCATAATTCGGAATACTTACGCCACCCGTGGAGTACGGGTCCACGCCGCGTTTATTCAGCAACAACTTGACGACATCCTCGCGCGAGTACATTGACGCTATATGCAAGGCATTGTAGTTGTCCTGCAAAGAGAATTGAAAGCATGAATGAAGGCGATGTGAAAGCAATCACTGTGACCTAAAAACATTAAATACATGTGAACAAATGTGGCGTTTGATTAGCTAATTGAAAGCATTTTCTACTCATATGAGTTTCCACACCCACAAAGCACACATACATACAAAATATTAACAGTTTATAAACCATAATTTGCGCTTTGTTTATATTGGTCGTCTTGATGGCTCGGCAAAAAGCACACACCTTTGTGATTTCTTACCGCTTTGCGTCGCTCACACACACACATGCATGTGCTTAGAATGTGCTTGGGGCATGCGGCATGCAACGAGTGCATAAAATTTGACCCTGACTTTCTTTCACTTCTTTTCTTCGCAAATTTACTACCGGATATTTAGTGGAGCTGTTGTAATAACAAAAACTAATGGACTTCTAAATTGTGTTTTTGTTTTTGCTTTAGCTCATGTGCTTAATGTCCGTCCAGCTAGTTTTTCGTTTAAACAGTCTTAGTTCGCAGAATTTGAAATGCTTTCGTGTATGGTCCTATTTCTTTTTCTTCCTGGCAGCCCTGACATATGTATGTATGAGTGCCATATATTTTTGTTTAAAAGCGAGAGTATTAAGATTAATTTTAGTTAATTTTAGATAGGTAGGTAGTGTGGCTCTCTGACCTAGGTCTTTAGGATCCCATTATGAAACCGCAGAGATTAAAATCGCTTTCACCTATTGCCTCCTCTTGAACAACTTCGTGCTTCTGATGAAGTTCTTTAGTACAAAAAGCTTTATCTGTACAACCTCCAAATATCGTCAAGAAACCTTTAACCGATGGTTGCAATTCTTTTCCAGCACAGCGCTTTATATTCGCATAAAAGATTTTTTATAGTCTTCTGCTGTTCTCCCTCTTCACGGCTCCTACAGTAGTCATTATATGGCTTTTCTAGTCTCCTTAAATATTTTACAATTACTGTTAGTCCTCCTACTTGAGTTCTTATGTCATTCTTTTTGAATTTTAATAGTCGGCCTACGCGGCCCAACAAGTGAAGACACCAGTTTTGCCTCCAATATTTAGTTTGGTCTCAACTGTTTAGTTGCTTATCCCTGCGCTTCTGTCCACCTCGCTCTTTTCCCAGTCTTCCACGGAAGTGAGAGCAATTTTGGGGAACGAACTTTACGAAAGTCCGTGGTATTGGATAGAGACGGGAACTAACTAAGTATCCTAGAAAGGGGACGATTCGCCAAGTCTAATAGCAGAAAATGTAAAATGGCGTTTAGTATCTGAGTTGGCGTTGTCCCAAGAGCTCCAATAATGTAATTAAAAGTAAATTTTTGCCAAAAATTTATCACGATGCCATGCTCCTTATAGGCCAATGAACTGTATCTATACCCACCACAATAATTGTGGCACATGCTTTACTTTCTTATTTATATACATACGTTCAATGTCGTAATAGAGCCACTGCTGAAAGCCCCAATGCCTATTCCAATCAGTAGTTATTACCAAAACCTTAACGCTTCACCCCACTGCGCTTGAAAGTAGGTTAAAGCAAGCAACATTTCTGCTCCCTGTGAAATATGTTGGAAAATTTCGCGTTTCCGTTTATTTGTTTCGGTATGTTTGGTATTTTTTTTTATTTGCTGTTAGATGGACACATCTACCTATATAAATATAGTAACAAAAGTCTACTTTTCTTTTGTCTTATAATGGCTTGAACGAACTAGTAGAATAGAGCGCACATTGGTTATTCTTGCGGTGTAGCAAAGTGTTTAGAAATTATTGTTGCAATTTGACAGCACATATGTGAAACCTTGCATAAAATTAGGCGATCGTCCTTATGCCTTACATATCTGCTTCTTTAGAACTGAACTTGTGCGAGCTTTTCAAGCAAGAACATTAGTAATAACATTCAACACAAAGTTTTGGCTTTCATATAGACACAAACATAATTTCGGTCATAATCTTAAGAAGTTGAAAAGAAAGAACAAAAAAAAATTTTTTTAAGAAAGTTCTTTGTTGATGAACTTTCTTAAAACTTTTAAAAATCCAAATATCTCCACACTTACATTTAAAATTTGGTGACCTAAGAACAAATAGTATTAAGTCAGTGGCATTAATTAAAGACCTTGCTAAAAATGCTCCCCAGCATTACATAATCAGATGCACACTCCTTCTTTATGAATGATTAACGTAGTGACGAGTAATTAATGCAATATTCTAGTTAAAAGCACTCTATGCTGTTTGTGAATTGCCAGGTGTGACTCGGAGAAAATTACATTAATGACTCAAAGCATAAGGAGCGTGTGATGATATCTCAGAAAATGCCACTTCACATACCTCACCCTGCAGTTGTCAACAATTTCAGCACCTAAAACGAACGGTAATGAGTAACCTTCCCAGCTGTTGCGCAGAGCAAAGGTAGAAGAGCCGTAAATTACTTTGACAAACAGTATTTTATAGCAATTGAAGTCAGCACCTAAGTTTAGCCGTGAATGACTCGCACAATTGGCGCAGTGCACTGCCCAAATAATAGTACTCCCTACTCCTACCACAAACCGAAGAGAGTCAAATCGTTACAACACTCCCAAAATGAGCTCTTTCGTGTATGTTGCCCGCCTCCATCTCCATTGGTGGTGTGGGCAGTGGCCAACAACGCGTTGCAGGACAAATGTTGTTTTAATGATAATAGAACACTATATAACTTCCGGTTCCTGCAAAGCAAAACGCGCGTACACATACATACACGAGTATACAAAGCAGTCGAAAATAGAAATAACACTGTGAAATGTTGAGATTCGCTTATATTTGGATTAAGTGCGGAAATTCACTTGCGCACTAGTGGTAGTGTATGAATGTATATGTGTGTGTGTTTGTTATATATAATTAAAATTGGTGTTAATACAAAGTCAAAGTCAATGTTGCGCGAACTCATATGTGAAAGCACACAGCAGTACACCCACTAAGGCCAGGAGAAAATTACGCTTCGCTCATATAGGAAGGGCCATGACTTCAAGATACTTTAGGTGTTAGATTTTAATCGTTAAGTGAGTGTTATACACTCAGGTTAGTGCAGCAAGTGAGGAGGAGAAGGAGTCAGCAAAAAATTCAATGACAGACCGCAGAGGCGCCCTTGGCTCTCTAGCTTGTTGATTAATTCACGGGACCCACTCACGCACTTCAACAATGATTCAACCATTTGTATGTGTCAGTGGCAAGCCCGTTTTACATATTTACAAAGAGTCATTTAATTAAGTGGCGGATTTTTACATAGTAATGCCGAAAAAAGTTTTCAAAACCCACAAATGTAAGAAATATCTTAATTTGTGTATACTTTATTGCGATTATTTGTAATTTAGCTTAAAATAGCCCATTACACGGTCATTATTCGCGCGGTTGGGAGCAATCTAAGGAATAATAACACAGTGCTGTTTACTGCCTTATAGAAATTGGGCCGAATTCATTATTATTTTCCTGCTACTACGATAAATTATATGCTGCACCTGCCACCGTATGTAAAAAATCATCTTGATGCCGTTCCCACGACAGTCGGGTTTACGAAAACCGGAACGGACCCGGATTTTTATCCGGCCAAGAACTGTCAACTCGGCAGAATTCTGCCGTTACAACAACAACAGCAACAATCATCTTGATGAGCTGCGTCGATTTAGCCAAGTCCACCTCTATGTCTGTCTGTGTATATATGAACTAGTCCCTCAGTTTTTAAGATATTGATCGGAAAGTTCGAACTCGTGTTTTCCACTCCATGAAGCTGCTCATATGTCGGAACCGTTGATAATGAAACACTATAGCATATAGCTGCCATAGAAAATGAACGATCGGAATCAAGTCCTTGTATGGAAAACTTTTTCAACTGAAAAGATATATTCATGAAATTTGGCGCAGATTATTTTTTTAGACAATAATGCAATTTCCGAAAAAAATTGTTTAGATCGAACCACTATAGCATATAGCTGTCATACAAATTTAAGTACTCGATTAGATACAAGCGTTGTTAACATTTTTTCTTTTTTTTTATATGTAATGCTTTCAGGTTTCGAACCACTGCTATTCTGTACATTTCTCGTACAATAAATGCATTTGCCTAATAGAGGCCTTACTTACTGTAATAATAATTAATAATAATTGCTATTTGAGTGGGCAATCAAATTGCGAAAATAATACGCCAGTGTATTGAAAATTATTTCAGCACTCGAATACACTCACATACACTTAAACCTAGTTACATTCAGGCAACTTTGTAACATCAGCTGACAGGTACGCGCACGCCATCGGTCAAAAGTACATTTGTGATAATTTTTTGAGGGGTGTGAAATCCAAAACGGTGCTGAGGTACATAATGTATGTATAGTATATGTATTTGAATTGAGAATATCGAAAATTTAACTAAAAGTTCCGATAAATGCCAGTTAAGTTCGCAACGAAGGTGTGTGGCAAACCTGAAAGTGAAACCAAGATTCATACCCGAAGATGTTGATAAAAAAAAAAAAAACAACCAAACCAAAGTTTTTCTTGCATATCGTAGCACCTAAAAATGCTTCCCTTCAGCGATAGCAAAATCTGCTGTCAAGCATATAAACATTACATATTTTACCAAGCTTAAATAGAGGCTATCAGTCATGAATTGCCATTTTTCGGACTTTTTGCTCAAAGTTGATAGAATGTGTTACAAATAATTATTATTACTTCCCCTAGCTGTTTTACAAATGTACCCTCGTTTGTAAGTATGAACACGTAAAAGCTTTGATAGCGGCATCCCGGTTCCGTTGGCTCACCCTAGTCGCTTTCGTGCTTGCTCGAAGCCGCTTGAATTACCGTTCGCTACCGTTATAGTACACATCCTTAACTGCTTTTTATTTGCTTTTACTTATTTTCGGTGATTTCTCATTCTTCTGGTCACTGTGAGTTGAATCTAGGTCAAGGATTTTTAATTCTCTTTTCATTTACTTTGCTTCTTGGTTTGGCTGAGAGGGGAATGCCTTCTCGCAACTGAAGTTTTCAATTAGAAAATTTAAAGAATCGCGATATAATAAAGCCTTAATCAAGTAACGCTGAGATATCCCAGACAGGTTTATTGACATATTTATACATATGCTCTGCGATATCTTATTTGGAAGCGATTTTCATTAGCGTTATTAATACTTTTGTTATTGTTATTGTCTGTATGTAAAGCGCAAACAAAGTGCACGTGGTTCTGGGTCATCTTGATAAAAAGCGCTGAGCAGCTGACGCACGCATCCGCACTATTAATAATATTAATAAACTAGATGCAGAGCACATGCTTCCGAGAAGCGTGTGTGTGTGCGTCGGTGAGTATTAAACTTCGAATCTCCGAGTAAATATAGCCAAATCGTAAGTTTTCTCATTATGTGTGTACGCGAAAGGTGTCGTTAAGCGTTTTGCGGGTCGCGGGTCTCGGGGAGACCCAAAAGCTCACTCAAAGAACGCACAAATCAGGGAAAATCCTTTAGGTTACTTCGGCGTCGCTGCGTAACGCGCTGTGACGTTTGCGACAAATGTTGCGTGCGGCTTACACTCACACATTCACAACCCACATAGTATATATTTGAATGTGTGCGTATATTTGGCAGTTTGTTGAACTACTTATTTCCATCTTGTTAGCCAGACTATGTAGACTGCGAAGCAAAAAGTACATAGAGACCACCGCCGCTTTGCTTGCACGTCGAGGGCGCCTTGGCGGAAGCGTTGCGACCGACGACCGCGTTTAGTTCGCCAAATTAATTTATGCGCTTTGGTACGCACTTTACGATTTATATATGCGGCCGCTATCGATTTGACACAATTTCACCTTTCTTTGTTTTTTTTTTCACTTTCTTTTCATTTACTTTTTTGATGTTACATAGTAACATTCGTAGGCCCCAATTTGAAGTTTGTTTTTCTGTCAACTATTTTTGCAGCGTTTGAAGTCGGATTTGTGCTTTAAGTTACAGAAAAAAATTACTTACATTGTTCCTCGCTCCGACGTCGGCGCCCAGCTCAATCATCCGGTCCATAATCGAAGTCTTGTTGTCCTTTGTGGCAAACATCAGCGGCGTCATGCCAGTGTTCTGCAGAATTAAACGAATTGAAATATTAATACAGTACTTATAATGTAATAATACTTATAAATGGAATTAAGTAATCTAATCTGGAGCCATGAATTTCAAATAATTATTGAAGTGCCGTTAGAAAAAAAAAACAATTGATATTTTAAGTAACTATTTTCTATTATTTATTTATTAACATTACAAAAAAAAMAGGAAAAATCAAAAATTAAAAAAAAGTTAGTAGCTGATAATGAGGGAAGTCTCCAGAAATGGCCACATGACCAAAACCATGCCTCCATCCAATCTGAAACCAAAGAAAAAAACCCCAAAAAATTAAAAAAAAATAATTCCAGAAATGGTGAATGCCGTAAAAATAAATTAGGACCACTTTTTGACAAATTAAAGAAGGCTTCCTTAAAATTTCAAGTAAGTCGGTCTGGTAGAACATGAGCTATCATGTGTATCGTTTTAAAACAGGCATTTTCGTCAAAAACGCGGATCGGATAAAAAATATTTTGTAGTCGAAAAAGTCTTTTCGTATTTTGTCAACAGATGTCGTTACAGTCGTATATCTCCAGTTCTACCAATCACATTGTGCACCTCGCTCTGGTCGACCTATCGTTGAAATTATGGAAAAGATTGACCAGGACCGCCACATAAGCAGCCATGAAATCGCTAAGGAACTTAACATTCATCAGAAAACGGTTTTAAACCATTTTACAAAGTCAGGCTACCAAAAGAAGGTAGATGTTTGGGTGCCACATGAATTGTCTGTGAAAAATTGAATGGACCGAGTTAAAATCTGCGATTCTTTGCTGTTGGGTGTTTGGTGAGATTGGAAAAGAATCATCCACTATGAGCTGCTCCAGCTTGGTCAAACGATTGATTCTGCGTTTTACTCTCAACAACTAATTGCGATTGAAGCATGCAATTGAAAAAAGGGCTTCGTTTTCTATCAGGACAACGTTAGATCACACAGATCTTTGATAACTCGGCAAAAACTGAGACAGCATGGCTGGAAAGTTTTGATACATCCACGATATACCCCTGACCTTGCATCATCGGATTACCATTTGTTTTGTTCAATGCAGAACTCCCTTAATGGAGTATAGTTAGCTTAAAGAGAAGGCTTTTTTTTTGTAGAGAAACCAGAAAAGTTTTACACTGATTTCGATTATACATATTTTCAGTTTTATGGAATAAACTGAAAATTTGAAAAGAGTGTTCGAAAAAATGTATCTCATATCCTAAACAGAATAAACATGAGGATGAAAGAACAACATAGAAGAACTTATACAGAAACGTCTTATGTGCAACACTCACATCGAAAACTCATTTAATGATGGAAAAACTTATTACTAGCATTGCTAAAATAAATTTTGGAAAAACATTTAACAGGTTACGAAGCTAACGTGATAAGCGACCATTTGAGTTCCCCCCAATAGCGACTAGTCAGCGACAACAAGCAATAGTCAATAAATTTATTGCCACACAACCCTTTTCGGTGAATGCATTGATATTTTATACGAAAATTGTTAGCGGCGTTGACACTGCAGAAGAGGAAAACTAAAATATTCATTGTTTATATGTCATAAAAATGGTAAACCTTTCGCACAGTTAATACAGCGCTAAGTAACGGTAATATTGCCGTGGCAGCGTACGCTATACCCCACGCCATCGTATAGGCTTAAGGGGTCTTCATTCCCTCAACAGCGCCGGAAATGTATACCCAAAAAAAACTCACCGGATCGTGTATGCCTGCCAGCGGTATGTGATTGCCGTCTTCGCCAGCATTCGCCACATATTTCTCCAGTTTCTTCAGTTCCTGTTCGATGGGTGTCCATTCGCTCTTTATCGCCAAAGCGAGTATCTTATTCGAGGTGTCGCGTATTGAAGCGCCCGCGCTCGGTGGCTTCGGTGCTGGGAAGCCCTCAGCTTCCCTCTTATCGCCATTGCTAGAGCTGTCGTCCTTCTGATCGGAATCGGCTTTACTGGCCGGTGTGGCGCGTTCACTGGCAGTGGTCGATTCCTCAGGCGTATTCGCGCCGACTGCGCCAGCAACATTCGAGGGCGTACGTCGGCCAATGCCGCCACCAGCGCCGCCACGCCCACCACGTTTGCCCGGTTGTGACATTGTGTATAGCAAATTTAAACGGTTTTATCAATAGCACAGGCAATTTGCATTTTGGTGAACACTACATTTCGCTGCACATTGCCAACACACACAGACGCAAACGATTTCGTTGTATTTGTGTATGGGCTTCTTGCAATTTCTGCTTTGGGGCGCACTTGAACTGACTTTGGGGTGATTACACAACGAAAATTCTCACTTTTACCCCAACTAGCAAATAGCCACTTCGATTATTTGGTTATACGAAATCAGGCTTTAACTTTTCATTGTACTCGCTACTAAGGCTTAAGACTCTTTTGTTATTTTTCAGCAAAGATTATTGTATTTATCTTATTTTTTTGTTTAAAGATGAAAAAAGATACTTGAAATAACTTGAGTCACATAAATGCACTTAAAGCCATTTCACTACACTTCTGCTTGTATATATATACATGTACATATATATATATGTATCAATATGTACATACACCCATACAAGTATACTTGATATTAATCCTTTGCCCAGTTACATGCGAACAATTTTGAAAACCAACCGTTTGCGACGAGCGACTCCGACTTTCTGATTTTTCACGTTCAATCCTGCCTCAGGTAAACCTCGGCAAACGGGCTTTCCAGCGCCTAAGCCATGTGACCGGAAGCTACCTTAGCAACATGACGAATACTTGCGCAGTAACGGAAGACGCCATGGAAGTGCTGGCTTCTTGCATTTGTTTGCAGCCGCTTCAACTTGTTTGATTTCGCCAGCCGCTATGCCGTCAAGATTTGTTTGTTTACATTTGTTGATTGTTTATTATGCGTTGATATGTTGAGGCGAAGCCGCGAAATGAGAAAAACTTGGAGCGTGCCGTGCCCACTTCGCTCTGGCATACCGCCACACTCAATTTGGCAGTTCTCGTGAGTAGCCCTCATATGCACAAGTGTGAATTGCCTTGCTTGCACAACCAAAGCCATAACATACAAATTAAATTAAGTCAACACTCTCACTAAGTTGTTATAGGCTATAGGAATCATAAAACTAATGCTCATAAAAAGCGAACTTTGAGACGCACAGATTAATATTGGCATATCAGAATCTAACAGATTAGTGCCGACGCGCTTCATGCAAAGATCAAGATCTAAAGATCCGAATAAAAGCAAAAGTCGCCTGAAATTCATGTGCATATACATATGCATACTCACTTATAGACAAGCGCAAGCGGAGGCAGATAACAGCTATCTTATATATTCTCAACTTGCAATCAAATATAAACAACATACGCTGTGACTGAGAACCCGGAAAATGTAGCTGAAAATTCCTGGGTGGATGACATTTCAAACAAAAAAATGTATTATGCAGACTGGATAAAAAGGTAAAGCAACTGGGGCTGGCAGTGAACGAGGGCAAGACGAAATCCTTTTGTTGCCAAACAAACAGTCGTCGCACTCGAGACTAAGCTCCCACGTAACTGTTGACAGTCATAATCACGAAGCGGTAGATAATATCGTCTATCTTTTAACCAATATAAACACCAATAACAGCGTCAGCCTCGAAATCCAACGCAGGATAACTCTTGCCAACAGGTGCTACTTCGGACTGAGTGGGCAATTGAGAAGCAAAGTCCTCTCTCGACGAACAAACACCAAACTCCATAAGTCACTCATAATTCCCGTATTGCTATGTCGTGCAGAGGCATGGACGATGAAAACATCTGATGAGTCGACGTTGCGAGTTTACAAAGCAAAAAACTGAACTTTTTTTCAAAAAGAGTACTGTAAACAGGTCTCTTTGTACATGCTTGATCGAGCGAATTCTATTCCCACATTCATGAAGAGCACTATAACTAAAGATGAGATATGGGCTTGTGAATTTGACATGCAAGGAGACAAAATCGAAATGAAACTCGTTTTGAGTCGATCGAAGAGAAAAAAAAAAATCGCTGAAAGAGCTGAAGGCCATCCCAAAGTGTTTCGAGGACTGGAAAAATCGTTGGCATAAGTGTATTGCATCTGGTCGGAATAGCTTTGAAGTCGATAAAATAAATATTGATGAATAATTAAACACTTTGCGTTTTATTTACAATTTCCATTTACTATATTGACACAATATAAAGATATTTTATTATTTATATGCTCCGCTATTGTCACGTTGTTGTCTTATTTGCAATCGATTTATTATATTTCACTTCGTTTTATGAGGAGAGTGCTTGTGCGCGAGTGTAAATAATTGAGAATATGCAAGCGCCGAAATTAAAAAATTTGAAAGTTCACAAGGTGACTGAGGAACGAAAGAAAAATTGCCGATTTGCATTTCAGAGTTGTAGACTGTTTTCGAGTTGGTTGCTTACACTTAAACTCTTGCATGATTTAATATACATATGTGTGTATATTGGTGTTTTTTTGTATAAAAAACTTGTACCGTTAGTTAAAATCCTTATTAAATTAAACAAAAGATAAAATAATTCGTGTGAGCACAATTTTGTAAAATTTTATTTTTATATAGACTTTTCAAGAATTAATAAGTTTGGAATGTAAGTTTCATTGGTGAAAAAGCTTTGCTCTAACTCTTCGATTCCTTTTGAAACCACTCCTGTAATTCGTACTTTTTGATTTTTCCAGAGCTTGTTTTCGGATATTCTTCCACGCATCGAACATAGCGCGGCACTTTGAAGTGGGCTATTTTGCCCTGGCAAAATCTCTTCACATCTTCGTGTGTGAGCGTGTTGGCACCAGAGCGCAAGCGTATGTAAGCGCAAATCTCCTCGCCCATACGCTTGTCGGGTACACCAATTACCTGCAAACATGTGATAGCCACAGTGCGATGAGCGTCCATAGTAGCAATATCAATATCTATGTCTCAATTTACCTGTGATTCTACAATATCCTCATGTGTGTCCAGGAATCCTTCAATCTCCTTTGGGAATATGTTTTCCCCACCACGAATTATCATATCTTTATTACGACCAGCAATGCGCGCCACGCCGTTGGATTGTAGTATACATTTGTCACTTAAAACCAAATCGAAATGCGGAAATAAAATGTAACAAAGTGTTCTAGTTATCCACAACACTCACCCTGTCTTGAGCCAGCCATGTTTATCTAGTGTTTCCCTCGTTTTTTCTGCATCGTCTTTATATTCGGTCATCACCATATAACCACGAACGCACAATTCCCCCAACTCGCCGAATTTAACCACCCCACCTTTATCGTTGATCACTTTTGCCTCAACGTGATCGTACAAGCGTCCAACTGTTTGGCTTGCTTCCTCTACGCTCTCAGTACCCTCTTGTGTGAAGAATGCTGCACATCCTTCCGACATTCCATATCCAATCAGAAATTCTTTCAAATTGAATATCTTCTTTGTTTGTGCATAGATCTCGGGTGAACAGGCCGCACCACCCACAATACCCAACTCTAATGTGTGTGTCGAGTGCTTCGAAACCATCTGCTCTTCTAGCATACCCACATACATCGTTGGAGTGCCCAATATGAGGTTGCAACCTTCGTTGGCGATACTTTCCAGTGCCGCCTTACTATCGAACGTTGGGCTGGGCAGCACTAATGTAGCACCATGCTTTACAGCAGCGTTCACAACACTCAAACCGAAAACATGGAACATAGGTAATGTCATACATATAGATTTGTGACCGTTATGCAACTTCAGGGCCCTACCGAAATAATATCCTTGATTGAGAAAACTGAAGTTACTGAGTACCGCTAACTTAGGCTGACCAGTGGTCCCTGAAGTGAATTGTATAGCACTCGCGCTTTCTGGACTAATATTTCGAACATTTTCATTTAACTCGTCTATAAGTTTAACTTCCGTTGAAGATGGTTGACTAAGCAATTCAGCCCAATTTGTGAACTCTTCCGAAGAGGACTCGCCATCTATGACGACGTGTCGTAAATGCGGAAGTTGCGTAGTTTCAATGGAGCGAGACCCGGCTTCATTGGCAGTAGGAAGTAGACTTTTCAAAATCTTGTAAAAATTCTGCTTGCCGCACCGTTCCGTTGTTATTAGCGTATGAACTTTGGCCTTCTTCAGCGCGTAGTCGAGTTCCTGCGCCTGCAGCGCCGGATTTATACAAGCGGTTATGTAACCGCCCAGCTGTGCAGCCAAGTAACTAATGTACCATTGTGCGCTGTTTGTGATCCAGAGACCCACAACATCCTGTCGTTGCATGCCGAGTCCTTGAAGTTTTACCGCAAGCTTTTCGGCTTCATATTTGACCTCTGCAAAAGTGTAACGCTTGTTTTCATAGGACGAAATGAGCGCCGTTCGATCGCCATACTTCGCAGCGGCTTCCTGTATCAGCGCTCCAAAGGTGCTGTACTGCAAAGGCTCCTTGCCCGGTTGGTGAAAATAAGCTAAATCCGAGTGGCTGTATGCGAATAAATTTTTAGCAGATTTCAAAGTTAAAGAGTGGTCAGTAATCACCTGCGCTTATCTACTTGTATCTGATAAGCTGCGAATTTCGTGAAATTACAGTACGCCTTTGCTCTTCGGCAGTGCGCTATAACACTGAAAATACCCGTATACAACTGCATTTAGAACAGCACAGCACGAAAACAAAGAGCTTATCACGACAAGTGTTACCCGTTCTGCGCGCGTTTGTACACTGATTGGAACAAAAGACGGCCGAGCGAGCGAATAGCTATCCGAGTCAAAACTTGTGGTTTTTGTTTTGATACTGGAAAAACTGATCATAGCAGCACGCGAAGCACTACAAATGTCGAGTACTTTATTTGATGGACTCCATTGCAGCGAGGTCTACTTGCATTGGCACGATTTCACTCAAACATTCATGTTAACCTTATCGCTCGCTCAATAAGCATGATCACTTTACAGACAGTGGGTGACTACGATAAGTAAATGTTAAGATAATCAGAAAGAGCGTTATAAAAGTGACAGCGCTACTTCAGGTTAGAAAATTTGGAATATGTATGTATATAACCCTACATATAGAACTTATTTGTTATACTAATAAAAAAATATATATTTATAATTGGTTGGTTGTTGGTATGTAAAATACTAAATAAAATAAATAAAATAAAGTAAATTTTTGAATATTTCCAAGAGATGGTTTTAGAAATAATGCTTACTTGATAGGCATTAAGAAATGTGTTTGAATTGAATTTAGATCTTTAGACACCTCTTATAGCGTCTCTCAACGTATGAGCACTTATTGTAAGGGGATGTCCTCCGCCTAATATTTTTCTTTTTTTTTCTTATCATCAGATAAAAAAATTCTAACAACGCTATTAGCTGCTTGAAAATACTTTTCTCTCGATCCATTTTAATATGTACACAATAAAATTAGTTGAATAAAACCATCGTCCAGTGGTATGAGATACACGGTATTAGTATGACATATACATTGTGGTAAACTAATCCGCGAAGAAATATAATGTTTGAGTTTAGCTCTAAAGGAGATTAGTCGAACTAACATACATTGGTGGGAATTTGCTAAGAACATATAAGAATCTCGTAGTGATCTTAACCACTTGCTTTACCGAACAGTTGTTATTCGGAGTATCGCATAACCGGTAACAGGCGACCAAAAAATATCACAGCCATAGTGATAACTAACAGTCGCTGCGAGAGCGAATGTCAAAGAACTCACACATTCGACAAGAAATCGCACATTACACGACACTTTTAATTTTTCACACACACATTTAATCTTTAATATTCATTGAGGCAATCTAATTGTGTCCATATAATTCAAGTACGCACCTCTCACGCTCTCAATTTGTGTGCTCGCTACGCTCTGTTTTGCTCGTCGCATTGAACAAATTTAGTCGTGCAATGACTACTGGTGGCACACTAGTGTGTACACCAAAGCCTCAGACTGTCTTACTTGAGTGTTGTCGGCAAAGACTGCAAATATTACACTTAACTTATTAATACAACTACAACATATTGAGTTTAATAAATAGAAGAACGCGTGTCATAAAGGGTTATCGTCTTGCCGAGTGTCGTTTCTCTGTTTATCGGTTCGTCGCATAAATAATAAGACATATTTGCTCACACGCAACTGTCTCTGAAGTCTGCGTCGATTTAGAACACCGAGCAACCTTCACCTTGAATTAATTTGCAAGTGTGAGCTATGATGAACGGCAAAAGGTTTGCCTTTACTCAGCATTTCTATAAGAGTGTGCTCAGCCCATCGCGCAGGCAGCGTTCTCTCATTTGGCTCCGACGGTGAGTATAGGTGTGCAAAGCGAATACACGAATACCCACACGAATGTTCTTATTCAAGATCATTAAAAGCGAACTTCTAACAATAAAGCACAATATTAGATTTGATATGTTTGTACAACGACAGTGTGTAAACAAAAACAATTATTGCGATTGATAACACTCAACGCCAAAAAATGAAGTATCGTTAGTGCCAGACAACCTATAAAGGTGTTTATCTATATTAATAACTTTTGTTATATTTTCATTTAGTTTATCTGTGGAACCGCCAGCAACTGTGAAGGGGCACAACTCTCACCCCGCCCACTTACATTATATTGGCAAGCATCCTTTGGTATATCGCAGTGTTGGCCAGGAATTGGAACGTGCTGCTGCCGAATATGGTGGAACGTGCTGCTGCCGAATATGGCAGTGCGGAGTCCATTGTTTCGTGTCACGAACAAAAGCGCTACACATTCCGCAGTCTCATTGAGGATGTCGATCGTGTTGCCGCCGGCCTATTGAAACTCGGTCTGCAGCAAGGCGATCATGTGGGCATTTGGGCACCCAATAACATGCATTGGTATCTGACAATGTTGGGAGCAGCACGTGCCGGTTTGGTGTCAGTAGGCATAAATCCCGCCTTTCAAGGGCCCGAAGTTGAATACTGTCTGAAGAAGGTCAAAGTGAAGGCACTAATAATGCCGGAGAGCTTTAAGACGCAAAACTACTATGAAATCATGAAAGGTATTTGTCCGGAATTACCGGATAATGTTGATGGCCGCATTAAGAGTGCCAACTTACCACATCTAAAGTACGTCGTTGTGGACAGCCCGAATAAACTGAAAGGCGCACTTACTTTCGACGATTTACTCGATTTGAGCAACCCAGGTGAACGTGAGGCTATCATACAGCTGCAACATCATATTATGCCAGATAGTGGTTGCAATATACAGTTCACCTCTGGCACCACGGGAAAACCGAAGGCCGCGGTCCTATCACATTACAATTTCGTTAATAACGGCATACATATCGGCAATCGTAACCAATTCGACGTTAGCTCTCGCATCTGCGTTCAAGTTCCGCTTTTTCACGTCTATGGCGTGGTCATAACTATAATGTCTGCGATGACACATGGCAGCACCTTGGTGCTACCGGCAGCCGGGTTCAGTCCAGCCGACTCGTTACACGCCATTGTCAATGAGAAATGCACCGTTATACATGGCACACCCACCATGTACGTTGATCTTATCAAGAAGCAGCGAGAACTAAAACTTCCGTTAGAGACTGCGAAAATGGCCGTCACTGGGGGAGCGCCGTGCTCGCCTCAACTTTTCTTAGATATTAAAAATATTTTGGGCCTGGATCATGTGCGTACCGTTTATGGCTTGACCGAAACCACAGCAGTAATATTTCAGTCCAAACCGGGCGATAAAAGTGAACAGATTTTGAACACCGTAGGGCATTTGCTTGAACACATTGAAGTCAAAGTTGTCGATGCTGAAGGCCATATAGTGCAGTTCGGCGAACCAGGCGAGCTCTATGTGCGCGGCTATGCCACAATGTTGGAATACTATGACGATGCGGAGAAAACAAAAGAAACCATTGGCAACGACAAGTGGCTAAAAACCGGGTAAGTGGAAATTTTTCGGGCTGCATGATAAGATAAGACGTAAGATATTCGAATCAAGTGCCTGAAAACATTAGAAGCAGATATTAAGTCGATCTAAGAAATTCATTAGTTTTCGCTCTATTTCAGTGACCAATTCATTTTGCAAGCAGACGGCTATGGCCGTATTGTTGGGCGCTTGAAGGAGATGATCATACGCGGTGGAGAAAATCTGTTTCCCAAGGAAATTGAAGACTTTCTCAACTCACATCCGAAAATCATTGAAGCGCATGTAAATATTTATTATTTATAAAAGGTGAATGGTAAAATTACTTTCCCTCTACCCCTCTTTGTTCTCCCGATTATCCAGGTCATCGGCGTGCCAGATGAACGGTTAGGTGAGGAGTGTTGCGCCTTCGTGCGTTTGCAAGATGGCGTAGTGACCATTACACACAATGAAGTGAAGGAATTCGCCAAAGGAAAGTTGGCACACTTCAAAGTGCCTCGTTACATAATACCGATCGATCAATTTCCTAGAACTGCTTCGGGTAAAATACAAAAGTTCAAGCTCGCCGAGGCTTACAAAGAAATGCAAAAATAAAATCAGTAGTTCATATTTAGAAATTTAGTCGAGACTCGCACTAATTGTATATGCCTCCGAAAATGAAGAAAAGTATTTAACTAAATGGATAATCACCCATAATTTAATAAAATATTTACTAATTATTTCATAATAATGCTAAAATTGTTTTAAGAACATACTTTTTTCTGCTGATCTTATCACTATTCAGTTATTTATAGTGTCTTAGTATTTTTATGAACCAAAACAGAGATAGCGCAATAGAGTAATTCAAAGCGGCTCTCTGTTTGAGAATATATTTGAGTATATGGCAGCCGGAGGTATTAATCTGTGTTGATAAACAAGTCAAGCCAGGGTTGCCATTCAGTTCCAAATGAAAGTAGTAAGATTGGTAATACTTCATGTGGTGCAAGTCTTAAGGCGTATTAGAGGGTCTTATGGGTTTTTATAAAAGCCTATACATACAGTTTATGAAATCATTTGAAATCAGTCTCAAGGCAAAAATATCTCACCCCTTATCAAACAATTTTTAGTGAAAAAACGTTTCTTGATTAAATTTTCAATTTGGCAGCGACAATTTAAGTTTAGTGGGAACACTATATAGGACACTTATTTACCAATGAATGAACACTATTAAAAACCGTGTGTACGAGAACCATGCAGTCCGATGCAACATTGATAGGCTCCGGATCGTTCAGTCGTGCTCGCGCCATCGTGCTGGCATAACTACATTCAACTCGTCTCGCCAGTTTATACAGAGTGAAATTATAAAGAAATTGTGACTTTGAAATTATCTGAACCGTGTGCGTACGCGTGGCAGATCGCAACGATCTAACGCTAATCAAAAGTAGGAAATTACTTTCTCACACACGCCTGCATACATATGATTGCGGCAAATAAGCTCAGTAATTGGATAATTCTATAAAATAGTTCCACTGCAAATTGTTGTAGTTTTGTGCATTCATAAAAAGATCATTACTAATACATTCATAGAAACAATAGCGAAATGTACAAAAAGAAGCTGCAGGCGATTTCACGGCTCGTAAGCAAGCGCATCCTTGCAACTAATGGCCACCTTTCTCGCTTTCAAATGCGTTGGTGAGTATTAGCGGGTTAGCGGGGCTTGAGGTCCGCCCCACAGACATTGCACTTTAGACTTTATAAGAATTAATAATTTTTGAAATCGAACTCAACTATGCAACGTTGATCTCGGTGGGCATTTTTAATTCAACGAGACTTATGAGTTTATTTTTTCAATTGATTGTGGTTACTAAATGCTGTTACTTTATGGTAAACATATTTACCTTTGCAAGTGTGATACTACATTGTATTTTTAGTTAGATTGAACAGTAGAATACTACAGAGCAAACGATTTTTCGCTTCAAACATTCACTATTCATATCTTAATAATGGTTTTCCACAGCCGGACTTGAGTTCTTGAATCCATTAATTCTATTGCTTCGTAGGTCTAGCTGCATTTTCGTAATTATTTCTGAGCACATTGTGAATATGCGGAATATTTTATATATGCGCAGGGGCTTGACGGGTGAAGACCTTAGATTCATTAATAAGGCTATTAATTCAACATATGGTATTAAAAATAGAAATGGAAAATACGTCTGCTTTGAATTCAGAACACAGCGTAAATTGCACACACGCCGAGTGTGAAAGATTGCCATCGTAGAAACTAAGAACACATACCCTGTGGATGACACATCAAATCGATGTTTTGCGTGCTTTAAAATGCACGGGCTTCAAAAGATGTTGGAGAGCTCGTTCCTTGTTGTGTTGAAGAGCGATCCTTCTTCGGCGGTTGGGTTTCCTGATTTCTTGAAAGACAGCTGGAAAAATAATGGTTTCGCACCACTCAGAATTTACTGTTCTGCATTGTTCTAGTGGTATACTTGTCCAGTTGTAGATTAAGAAAACAAAAAAAACCGGAAACTACTTGCTTGGAAGTGCTGGTTCCGCAAACAGCTTTTATTGCATTCGGCTCATCTTGAAACGGTCAGTCGAGTGCTGTTTATTTAGTGTAACATCAAAAATGTCAAAATTTGTGATAAAGTTGTTAGTTGCCGGATGAAGTGGTAGTTTGGTATGAAGATGGTGATTCTCTAAGGAATTTCTGTTGCAATTATTTTTAATATATCTATACATATATGTATATATTCGCTAACTGTCGTCGGATGCTTTTTGTGGACACATGCGACACACTTCGCTTCGTACAGCGATAACAAAACAACCACTTATCTGAACCGTCGTATTTTGACCAAAATGAAACCCGTTATTTTACCATTGAATATTGTAATCTACCATTCGTGTTAACTTTTATATTTGGCGCATGGCGCTGCGCACACACATACGCACATTATGTTTATAAGTAAATTCATAAAGACGAGACAACTCCCTTTATTGCTCAAGTTACAAGCAGATACTTATGATTTCAGTGATAAGCAAACGGGCGGGAGCGTGCGTTATCTCTTAATAAACAGACAGAGAAATTATTTATCATGCATATCATGATAGCATCTGCATGAAATCACTTTCGAAACCACATTAGTGGTTAAATACAAGCATTTCCGACCAAAAAAAATTATTTATAGTCACACACAAGTATACATATGTACAAAAGTACATGCATGATTTGCATTTAATTAATATTTTCTATTTCTGTGTTCATTTTCACGTTGACATTCATACATTATGAGAGACAAATTGTTTCGCTCTTCTAACCTAAGACGACTACTATCAAAAGATTCGTCATTTGAGTTTTAGACGGCGCTGTGAACCGATTGCATACTGTTTTCATATTTAATCATCGGAGATGATAAACCTGTGTCCGAGATAACATCGGCGCTTGTATGTATGTATGTTGGTAATGATGTCGCATAACGCCTCGATCTAATTAAGGCAATTTTTTTTGCACTTTTTGTCGATCTAATCTATAAAATAGACCTTTCAGTGCAAAATAAACAATAAATATTAAAATTTCTACATCATTTTTATTGAAAGTTTATATATTTTCTTTTGAGGGTTGTACTTATGTCGCGTAAATGAGATAATAGGTGATACACGTGTTCTTTCTATTCCCCACAGCTTAACTACTCAGATTCAAGCGGCTGTCAAAGAGCATCACTTTCACCCCGCACACTTACATTATATTGGCAAGCATCCTTTGGTATATCGCAGTGTTGGCCAGGAACTGGAACGCGTTGTTGCCGAATATGGCAGTGCCGAGTCCATTGTTTCGTGTCACGAACAAAAGCGCTACACATTCCGCAGTCTCATTGAGGATGTCGATCGTGYTGCCGCCGGCCTATTGAAACTYGGTCTGCAGCAAGGCGATCATGTGGGCATTTGGGCACCCAATAACATGCAYTGGTATCTGACAATGTTGGGAGCAGCACGTGCCGGTTTGGTGTCAGTAGGCATAAATCCCGCCTTTCAAGGGCCCGAAGTTGAATACTGTCTGAAGAAGGTCAAAGTGAAGGCACTAATAATGSCGGAGAGCTTTAAGACGCAAAACTATTATGAAATCATGAAAGGTATTTGTCCGGAATTACCGGATAGTATTGATGGTCGCATTAAGAGTGCCAACTTACCACATCTGAAGTACGTCGTTGTGGACAGCCCGAATAAACTGAAAGGCGCACTTACTTTCGACGATTTGCTCGATTTAAGTAACCCGGTAGAAAGAGTCGATGTTACTAAACTCCAGCGGCATATTGTACCGGATAGCAGCTGCAATATACAATTCACCTCTGGTACCACAGGCCAACCCAAGGCGGCTGTAATTTCGCATTACAACTTCGTTAATAACGGCATACACATCGGTAATCGTAATCAATTGAACAACAGTTCGCGTATTTGTGTGCAAGTTCCTCTCTTCCATGCCTATGGTGTCGTCATCACCATTATGGCCGCAATGTCACATGGTAGCGCTTTGATATTACCAGCAGCAAGCTTTAATCCTGCTGCCTCGTTACATGCCATTGTCGACGAAAAGTGCACCGTTATCCATGGTACACCCACGATGTATGTTGATCTCATTAAGAAGCAAAGGGAACTAAATCTGCCACTAAAGACTGCGAAAATGGCCATCACTGGTGGAGCACCGTGTTCGCCACAACTATTTTTGGACATTAAAAATGTTTTAGGCTTAGAGCATGTACGTACGGTGTTCGGTATGACCGAGACTACGGCAGTTATTTTTCAGTCCCGCCCCGATGATAGCATGGAACAAATTTTAAATACTGTCGGACACCTGCAAGACCATGTCGAAGCGAAGGTGATCGACTCTCAGGGCAAAACAGTGGCATTCGGCGAGCGCGGTGAACTATGCGTTCGGGGATATGCGACGATGCTGGGTTACTATGACGACGAAGAGAAAACAAAAGAGACCATCGGCCGAGATAAGTGGCTCAGAACTGGGTGAGTAACGTGTATTTTAGCCATAAGCGCATTCATAGTAAATGTAAAATTTGTATCGAACGCAGCGATCAATTCATTTTACAAGCAGATGGATACGGCCGCATTGTAGGACGTCTGAAGGAGATGATCATACGCGGAGGAGAGAATATATTTCCGAAGGAAATTGAAGACTTTCTCAACACTCATCCGGATATCTGCGAAACTCATGTATGTGCAAGTGGTTTCATCTTACACACCTTTCCCCGCATAAGTCAATTTATGTTTTCTCTACTTGCAGGTGATTGGCGTACCTTGTGAAAGAATGGGTGAAGAAGTGTGCGCCTTTGTGCGTTTGCACGATGGCCTCCCGAAGATGTCGCGTCAAGACATTAAGGATTTTTGCCAGGGAAAACTGGCACACTTTAAAGTACCTCGTTATTTGGTAACCGTTAGGGATTTCCCAAAGACTACTTCCGGCAAAATACAGAAGTTCAAACTGGCTGAAGTATATAAGAAAGAGCATATGACGCAATGAAATCAACGTGGATGTGGGAGTTAATGATTTCTAAAAAACAGTATGCATTTATTATTGGATAGCTTTTATACAAGGTTTAATAAATTAACTAAAAACGTACGTGTTGGAAAATTTTTGAACTCAAATTCGTAATCAGGACACCCCAAATACCCCACAGACCTCTTAGCACAGAAGAAAGAGTAAAAATATGCCTCAATTAGGCATTATTAATTAACACTGTATTTTATTTTTAAAACTTAGACTTTCTAAAATGCACAAATATTTTTACACACGCGTAGTCATATCAAGGACTCGTCTCATTTGCCGGCACTTGCGCCCAGTTGAAAATGGGTGCATATATCACTGGTGATCCGCTGCTTTGATCGGACAAAGCACGCACAATAAATCCCAAGGCACCAGTGGTATTTTGCGTCAAATTGAAGATGGTTGGTGGAGTTGTGGTCGTTGTTGTTGTCGCCATTGAGCCACAAAAAATGTCTTTTAAGCCTCTAAGTAGAGCCCAACCTAATGCAGTCGATTCGTAGAACAAGACGGGGAAAACTAAATGTTTAAAATTAAAAAAAAAAAAACACTCAATCCTGAAAACTTAAAGTTCAACACGTAGACTCACCTACTACCGCAAGCAATAGTCGCAAGTTCATTTTTCGAAATGGTGAAACAATATGATTAAAATGTTAGTTTCAAAACAAGGCTCGTGTTATTTATATGCTCTCAACCCTCTTCAATTAGCATATTAATGAGTTGAACATAATATAATTACAGAATTTTATCTGTCAGCCTTATCCAGCTATGCATTCTTTAAATGTCATGCCGACAAATTATGCTTCGACACGCTCATGAGATGAGCACCCTGGATGCTTTGCTAATGGAGCAACCAAGTACATATTTTGGGCTTAGGAGTTAAATAAAGTTTTCAAATTTAACAATTGTTTCGAATTCAATTAGGTATTATATTTAAGAGTCTGTTCCCTCGAACCAGAACACACTTAATACACTCCGACTATGGTGACTTGAAATACATACATTGGCACATATTTTCGTGATTAATTAAAAAGATATTGAATACTTTTGAGGAATTTCTTGTTCATTAACTTAATTATGTGGGTTTGATGCACCAAAACTTAATTTGTAAATGTTAAGTAAGTCTGCGATATCAGAGTATATCACGTGTTAGCTGCTAAGTATCGTAGACTGTTGATACTATGCTTCAGGAAGTGTATTTGCTTCTTTTTGCTTCTTATGCTGCGTTTGCAGGCGGGCTTTCGATAGACTCCCCATTTACACCACCCGGAGGTTCAGGTGCATTCGTCATGCCAGCTTGAAGCTCCAGCACAGGTGTAGTAGCAATCGTAGGGGATAATTCTGGAGCGCTGATTGTAGTCGTTTCTAGAGGAACGGTTGGAGTAGCTTGAGTCGTAGTCGTAGTCGCAGACTCCACATCAACAGGTGATAAAATGAGATAAACTGTGGGCGAAGCTGGGCTTGGCCGACTACCAACAACCGAAGCGAATGGTGGTCTCATGAGTGAAAAATTTACACTGATAATACTGCCTAATAGATTTGGCAGAATAAATGATGAAGTGAAATCAACCAAGAGGCAAACCAGCAAAAATGTGGCTGAGGACGAAAAATGGTCGTCATTTACAATACTACTCCGATCATGAGTACAAGTATAATACATTTTATATAGTTAACTTACCGAAAGGGCGTGAAGCGAACTGCGAAGCCATGTCTAAGTCGTGCAGCCTATCTGATATATTTATTAACTGAACTCGAAAGGAACTAGTAGCGCTTATATATGGAAAATTTGCTCACAATAATTATTCTAGTTCGAGCTGTTACTCCAGATACTTATATTTGTGGCTGCTAATTATTATTTTATTATTATTTATCTATATAGGCCTATTGTTTTCTTTATTGGCAACCGCAAAATGTGTTCATAGCTTCCACTTAATCCCGTTCTATTGTAATTCTTAAGTATTGAAAACTTAAAGAAAAGCGCTAACACATCTGGTCATCGGATATTGATCGATATGGAAGCTCTAATTTTTTTTCTGAAAGTAGTTTGTACTAATGTATATATGTAATCAATTGACAATTACAAGCACAGTTAGACATATGTATATAGATTAACGCACTTCTAATTTTGACGGCAAGCACGTAATTACTTGGCGTGAATGTGCATAATAAGCTCAGTTTTTTTCATAAAGTTACAAGTAATAATAAAATTGGGTCATTAGCCACTTAAATATGGTAACTACAAGCGACACGTTTTTCCAACTCTTACATATGTTTAAAAACTATTGTTGTTTCCGAATATTTCGTAGCTGAGGCAAAAAGGGTGAGCAAGCACACGACATGATAAGCGAGATGCAGGATTTGTCCGGAAAGTAGTAGTGTTGAGACGATTTAAAAAAATGTATTAAACGAATCGATACAATTCTTTAAAAAAAAATTTAAATAGGCTTCTTCTGCGTCGGTGCAGCGCCGCCAGCCCGATTTCCAAGTATTGAAGGTGTCATTCTCCGGAATAGCCTTGAGAGCCGAGGTGCATGCTGCTTGGATTCCCTATGTCGCCTCAAAATGCTTGCCTTTTATAATTTTTTTCAGGCAAGGAAACAAAAAAATCACGGGATCATACTCATAGATCGATGAGTCGTCGCATGTAATTATGTCATTAAACAATTAGGGGTCACTTTCACACATGTTCAAATTTACTTGCTGCAATTTCTGGTCGCCAGTGAGCAATATTGCGACCATCTCCGTGCAAGCCTTGCGCATGTTCAAGTGCTGATAAATTTAACACCTTGCGAATTAAACGACTACTTGTCGACGGTCTGAGTTCAAAACTTTGCGCACACGAGTCACATTGTTGGTGTTTGCCGAACTCGCAGGTCTCCCAGTACGGTCGCGTACCTCTGCATTCTCGGCTTGCATCACTCACAGAAACGCGTCGCGCAAAAATTTCTGTTCTGACTCTCCAGGTGCTCGGAGACAACTGTCCCACGTTCGTTAGCTGGGAACGCCTTTTACCGCACGCTCCGAATTACAGTCGCGGCGGAAGAAAACAGTCCTATYACTTTCCGGACAAACCCTGTAGTTTTACAAGATCACCGTCTTGTTAAAACGAGTGAATATTCGCTAAATTCAACAGAATTAAAAAATTCGGCTATCGCCAAACTTTGTAAGCAGAGATCGAATTCGTCTACACAAGTAGGAAACCGTAATTGCTTGCCGATGGTTCAAAACTGAACGGCAATGGAAGGTTAGACGAGTTTCTATGAGTTTGGCGATTTTCATTTGTTAAAAGATCATAACTCGTTACTTGTAGTAGTCTCATGGTAGTGTGGGAAATGACTTCAATTTATAACTGTTGCAATTAATTCATCAACAACTATTTAGAAATAAATACACAAATATTAATTTGAAACAATCCATTTCATATATTTTGACATATTTATTGGGTTTTCAGCACTTTCCTTCCGCTCAACGAATCCAAACTACAATTTTTATTCAAGCTTATCAGATATTCCGCTCTTTAGAAAATACACTGCGCTGGCTGCCACCGCGATACATAATATAATCAACGTGAATATTTAATTTATTTTCTCATAATTCTGCATTTTTTATTAACCGCATTTTGGGTAATTTCTCTCATCTCTCTTTTTTAGCGGTGACAATTTCATTTAGTTTGCTTGTCCCATACATAGAGTACAATGTAACTGTATTTATTATATTGTAGGGAGGTCTAAAGGTAATGGTTAACCGTGTAGTGTGAGTTACTTTATTTTGGGATTTTGGGGCTTTCAATTATCATTTTAGTAGCATATATGTATAATAAATACCAACACATACAGATTTTCTTAAATTATTCATCCATGCATTCAAGTAAGCCTACATACATATTTATATAAAACAAATAAACAATCAATATAAGTTAGTTTTTAGTTTTCTTTTTTGTTTTTGTTTTTTTAATTATAATGCACATTCTTGGATATAATTCATAATTTAATGCAGCCCAGCCGAACGCGACAAAACTGACTGACTGACCGACCTAGTTGACTGACTGACTGACTCACCGACTAACCGACTAACAGACTAACAAACTAACGAACTTAAAAATTACAGTTAGGTAAGTAACGTACAGTAATGTAAGCTTAATATTAAGGTACACATTTTAATTAAAATTAAATAAATACAATTAACATGAAATAAATTAAAAACTAAACAATTTCTTTAAAGCTAAAACATTTCTCTTTCTCTTCCACCTGCGACACTTGCCTTCGAAGGACAATTTCAACAAATGCCGACGAAAGTGCTCGCATGCGAAAGCACATCAAATAGCCAGTAGCTTATTCTCGCTACAAACACACATACATAGTTAGATATTTCATTCTTCAGGTTTCGTATCATTAGTGGACTTCATTTACGGGCGCTAATGTTGCTAATTAAGACTGCAATAGACGGCCTCTGATTCTATGCTCAATTCTAATAACTGTGCTCAATAAAGCAGTTCGCACAATTAATTACTCATTAAAGACGCTATCTAGCCGAGGAGTGCTACTGAAAACATTTTCACATCTCCCCACTTTTGTCTAAATAACTTTAAATTATAGTTCCAAGCAAGTTTAAAATTTTTTTTTTTTTAACAAAAGCATGTGCTGTGCCGTTATGGTTTTCGCACTCAAAATATTTTCCATTAAAATTTGATATAAGCAAAAATTATTTCTTGTAATACAAAGCTCTCTACCGATAATTCAATTACAATAACTTTTGAGCTTTCATTTGACATAACACAAAGCTTCTTATTCTTATGCCGAAATGTAATTCTTTGTCTAATACCGACATACATACATATAATCCTTAAGAATGCGAAATTTTAAATTTTCATCATTATTATTATTCTCTTTGTCGTACACGAATTGAAAATGACAAATAAATCAGTAACGGTACATTATTTCCTCTTTTCCATTTAAACAAAATAAAATAAGGTTAACTATAGATACATATATATTTTGCGCTCAGCGCGTTACTCTCTGACCAAAGTCCACTTCACTACACATACAAATACACAAACCATTGGCCAGTCTTTTCAACCCAACTTCGTGCGCTCTTCTACCACCAATGTATTCAAGTTTCGTTCAGCTTTCAAAGGACTCTTGCCCTCAGCTGCTGAAATGTGAGTACAGTAGCAGGAAAATAGACGCAACTTGTTTAACCTCTAATCGGCTTTTATTTCGTTTTTGTTTTACTTCTCTTTATAAATTAATTTTACTCTCTCTATCTCTTTTAGTTTTCGATTTGCCAGTAAAATTCGGCTGTAAACGGCTAAATCCCAACATAAAAAATTCACATGCCGGTTCAGAAGCTATCATCTTCTTCATCTTGTTCTTCTAATTCCTCTACTTCGTCTTGTCATACTGTTGAGCCGTTTGTGAAAACCTCTGGATCATCGGACCAACTAACTTCCATCGGTGTGCCGTTTAGACTGTGAATTTTATCCAAGAGTAGCACTTCTTCCAGTGACATGTGCGAGTTCTTTAGCGATGAAGTGGAGCCTGTGGTGGCTGATGAGGTCGATACTGAGCAAACAATTTCATCGGAGGATGCTGAGCAACCTTCGTCCTCGGAGTTTGTGCCCGATACCATAGCTTCGCCTGCAGATTCTTGTATCTCATGGAATTTCTTTTTAAGATCATGTACAGATGCGTGAGTTGGTAACGATTGAATGTCTAAACGCTCGCCCGAGTTCAATTTGGATGTGTCGCACGTAATGAGCTTTCGCGTGGATGCGCCAGTTATTGAAGTGCGTTGAAAGAGCGAAGTCTCGTGTGGTACTGTCTCCTCTGAGACTTCTGAGCACATTGTTGATGTTCGGGGTCGTATCGCATTCGCATGTGGTGAACTCGAACTGATCGGTTCTTTCCAGTTAATCAACTCTAGCTGATGCTGTTTATGTGCAGTAGAACTTGAACTTTGACGCATTAACCTTTTGCCACTTTTTGTGCCTACCGAACCGGTATTGAGAGCGCCAGTGCCAGCCTGCGCCGGCTCGGTGCTCTTTACACTTACCGATTTGGAGCGTATGCGCGAGTGCGAACGATTGCTGAACTCGTGTCGCCCATCGCTGGAATGTTGTCTTATCACTGACGTGGCAGACATCGACTGCGATAATGGGTTGGGACCCACACTAATATTGTCATTGCCATATGTGGGACCGCTACCGACACTATTCAGTGATGTGTTTATGGCGCTAGAGCAAGCAGACAGTTGGCGGCGCGTCGAAGGACTACGCTCGACAGAACGAAATGAACCAGCTCGCTTAACCATCTTCGACGCGGCGGCTTCGGGTGTTTCATCATCCATTTCAAGCACCCACGAAACAGAATCCGGCTTCTCAATCACACCTTTAACCACGGGCGATGTCGGTGGCGATATATCTTCCATCGGTATATTGACCAGCGAGGATCCGTTCATTAGCTGAGACCGATTCAGTAAACCAATACTGGACTGATTACTTGTATTTATCGAGTCCACAGCTGAGAGCTCGTGCAATTTTGTTTCTACAATATGTAGCTGTTCCGAGCGTTGTTTGAGCTGCCATTGCAATTGCTCATTATCATAGCTAAGACGTTTACGTTTGACCATCTCGTGGTTATAAGCTTTCTGCATGTCATTGATTTTACGAAGAAAGTCCCTACGAAAACCAAGATAAAATACATTTATTAGTAAATTAGGAAACTTTTGCGACTCAAATGTCACACCAAATTATGCTCAACTACTTACTTCTCCTTCTCCGACTTGATATCCAGCTCTGACTTCAACATCTCATTGTTTGATTCAAGCAAAGAAATTTTGCCTTGCAAAATGCCACGTTCCTCAGCATCACGCATTAGCTCCTCATTATGTTTAGTCAACTTTGAAATCTCCTTCTGTTTTAACTCCAACACACAATGCAAACTATCCGCTTCGCTTTGCAGACGCGCCAGCTCCGACATACTAGAATTGCGTGGCGAACTAATGCCGCTGCTGCGATCCAGGCTTTCGTTAAAGCTGCGCTGTGAGGATCGTAAAACCGAAATCTCATCCTGCGACAGATTTAACTTGTCACGCAACTCGCGTTCCCTGTTCTCATTGGAAGCTCTAAGCCCATTGAGTTCCTTCGTCAGCGCTTTCACACGTTCATTCAAGTTATGCTCGCGTTCTGTGGCCGCCTGGAAACGTGCGGCGTAGGCATTTTCAGTGCTAGTCAATTTTTCACGCAACTCTTGCTCGGAAATCGCCAACAAATTGAAGCGCTCTTTTAATTTGTGTTCGCGTTGTTCGGCTTCATCGAGTTGCTGTTGTTTCTGTGAGAGTTTATTATCAATTTCTAAGCGATAAGAATCGAGTGTACGCTTATGTTCCATAGCTTGTGCTTCCAGTTGTGACTCGAGTGCTGCAATTTTTTCTTGAGCAAAAGCTTGGTAATCGGAGAGACTTGTTTGTGCTACAAAAAAAAAAAATACCGTTATGGTGATTGTTTTTAAATTGAAGTTCGACTGTGCTTACCCTTCTCCATTTCGCAGCGGTGCAGAGTCTGCAGATCTTCCTCGCGCTGAGTATAATAACCCTCCTTGTCGCATAGCTGATCCTGTAGGCGAGAACAGTTTGACTTGGCTTCATCCAGCAACTTCAGCGTTGTGCTTAAATAATTTTGTATTTTCTCCTTCTCAGCCTTAACACGAGGGCAGGCGAAAGCATCCAACTAAAATATGTGAAGAAAACAATTGATTATTAATGAACATGAAATAACTTTCTTCTATTTCCTAGACACAACACACACACAACACGAAGCTGAGGCTCACCATTTTTGTACTCATCACTTCGTCGTCATAGTCCGAAAAAGCTTCGGAGCAAAGTCTGCTCCTTTTCCTATTACTAATCATTTCAAATTGATCAAGGGTTTTCTTCTTCTTTTTAATACCCAACATTCTGCCAAACATCTTGATACTTCAATCTGATAGCGTTTGAGAACACACACAATCTTTAGGAAAATTAATAAATTATTCAAATTTCCTGCCGCCGCTTCCGACTTTTCATCATATACTGACCACTCTTGCAATAGCTCTTACTTTTATATGCAGCCGCTCTCAAATCTTACAGACACAGCAGGTAATCGCGAGCGCTAGGGGATTTAACCATCCTCAGCTAGTTACTATGCCGTTGCCATTATAAAGCATTGGCATTCGGCAAGCAGGTTAACAGACAAAATATATAGCGGTATAGGCAAATTTCTGGGTAAATACACACGAACGTAAGTATATATTTCCAACGAAAAAGTATTTCCAGGATGGCTAAGTTCGGGTTTTCGGTTGTAAACCCAATTTCAGAACAAAAGATGGCTGTTTAAGTATCTTAATTATGTTGAGATGGCGAAACAAAGGACAGGTCTCACGAAAGGTATTCAACCTTTCCTGTCTCCTACACAAATATACTTGGGTTTTGCGTACATATGGTATATGTGTATTAGGGTGCGCAAAAAAAAATCGAATATTTCTTTCGTTTGATCCTTTTAAAATATGTTCCCAGAAAAGAAAGTATCTCCAAGTATGAGCTCTTAATTGTAACGAGAGGTTCGTTTTCTATTGTTCTTTTTATCAGAAAAAATCAAATCTCGCTTTCAAACTGAATGCAGGTCTTTGTGGCTAATTACTATGAATAGTTGGCAGTTATTCTTCTTGAAGGAGTAAGAAGACAGGTCTAAACTAATGTTGCACGAGAAAGTCCTGAAAGAAATATATCTTGTTGCTGTTGTTTGCTAGCAATGCCTCATCGAAAAATCCGGAATCAGCAAATAACTCAAAATACATAGCAACTATTATCTGATTATTCTCGGTTGCATAACACATTTTTTCGATTGCATTGTGTTGTATGTATTTATATTTCTTCTCAGCTGATTAAATATCCACAATAACCATTATTAATACCTATTTGTTGAAGATTTATACATTTAGGGTTTTCCTAGAGATTTGGAAATTATCCAAGCTGTGCTTAGAGAAAACGTTGACATTCAACACATGTATTTATATTATAAAGGTTTGCATACTAATACTTATTCACTCTACGATTCTTAAATATACAGTGGAGTCCATTTATGACAAACTTTGGCCATTAGAAGCAGGCATTCATACAAAGCCACAATTATGTTCTGAGATACGATTTAGTTGAAGAAATTTAGACTGGGTGGATATATGTATGTATAATATATTCAACCTATGTACAAGTATACGAGGGTACTTAAATGTACTTATGTATGTAAGCAGGGACGGCGAGCGTTTTAATTTGTTTCAATTTCGTGTGGCGCCAGCAACACGATGTGCGCCCATGAGCATCGTTTAATAATTGCATTTGCCTTTTGCTTGGCCTACACACATACCAGTAATAGGCAGCGACTCTCTTCTTAAAAAAAGATGGTAGAACCAACACACCGAAAATCCTAAAGTTTCGCAATTTTTTACACATTCTGTCAGCGTCTAAATCCCAAGGATAATTTGAAAAAAGGCAACCAGACGCGCTTCATTCATTGAAAGTCGTAAATTAAGGATAACTTTTTAAATACACACCACACCCACTATTAACAATTATTTTGAGTAATTTGTGCCTTTTAGACACAAAGAACTTCCAGGCACTCAATGGAGCGTAGACAGACGACGTAGACACGAATATACCTCAAGTGTCTACATATGTGTGTGTGTGCGTTAGGGTATGTACTCACGTCATGCACAGCGTACTGCAGCAACACGCCCAGCACTTCGATGCTTTTGTTGCGCTGCTCTTCCTGCAGTTCCGTCTGCTCCAGGTGCCGCTCGATCGCTTCATAGTCCAGACGACCGTTGCACGAATGCCGATTTAAGTATTTCAAACGCTGCAACTCCGACGCATCCAAACGCTCCGCAGCGCCGCCACCCGACACAGGTGTATCCTCGGCGGAGCGTTGTTGTTGGTGTGACTTTTGTAGCAATGCTTTGCCGCGCGTCGGCAGGAATTTCGACTGTGTCTTCTGCGTAAGAAAATGAATTTACGTTGTGAATTGTTGGAAGTTATTTGAAGGGTGGTTAGGAGGTTGTCGGTACTTACTTTTTCCAGCAACGTGGCGCTGACTGTGACACCAGTGGCAGCAGAGGCTGGCGTTGTCGCCGTCTTCTTACCATGATGCCCCAGTATAGGTGATGTGGTTTGTGAATTTGTGCGTGTTGTTGTTGTTGTACCATTTGATATAGCTGTTGTGATGCTATTGTTGTTATTGTGGTTGATCTCATGCAATTCCGTCGGCGCATCCGTGTGCTTGACATTTTTAGAAGTCGCAGTGCCAATAACACGATTTTGATCTGCAAGGAAGGAGAAAAGGGAACCAAGAGTTTTATTGGCCGTCGGTATGGCACTAAATTAAACTAATTTATTTTGAATACACAGAGGTGAATAAAACTCCTTATTTAGCATGCATATCTGTAGTAAAGTGAACATTTTCATCAAACTAGTGTCGCTGCCGGAAGTTAGTGGGGGGAAGTGTTTTCAGCAATTCAAATTTAATTAAATTATTTTTGTCCAAAATAAAGGCACTTGAGGCAATGTCAAGCGTCTACAGCGTCAGCTTGTGCCTTTTGAATATTTGCTTTGGGCCGAAGTCCCTATTTGGTGCTCGTTAGACGCTTCGGTTCAAGCAAACCCAAAAGAAAACATAACTTTACAATTTCCATAAAATTATGGTTAGCACCAGATATGGTACCACAACATTACAACATAAAAGCATAGAGAAAATGCGACGTAAAATAACACAAGCGAGAGGGCAAGGAATTGCGGAAAATGTTTGACTGCGAAATACACCGCCTTTACAAGCAACAAGTTGTTGTCTTAAGCGTAAAGCTTTTTCCAAAAACCCATTAGATTATTAAAAAGAGAAAGAAGGTACTAGAGTTCGACGTTAACTGTCATGGAGTTTCCAAACTTTAATAATAAAAAAATATTTAATAACTCTTAGTCTGCTGTCTGAATTATTTTCGACTTATTTTTATGACCTAACCTCACTCGTCGTAAGCCAATACCTAGCTTCGAAAAGCAACATCGAAGCAGCGCTAATCTGAGATCAAAAATATATTTTACAGTTTTGTGCTTCAAATAAGAGGTCTATACTCCTATGGTTCCTCATTAGAAACATAACAAAATCTCCGAACATAATAACATGGATTACGATGTGGTCTTCCTTAAGTTGGGAAATTCCATAATGTTGAATTGCATCACAGCCATAAATATTCTGGTATCCCATGCATGGCGAGGAAGAAGTGCTGGGCATTTCCACTAGTTGCACCAAAATCATCGGTGCTTAGCGGCACGTAGCCGCAGAGACACAGGTAAGCGCGTTTTACGATTGTGTTCGGTTGACCCAACCTTCAGTACGTTTCCGTGAAAAGGATTAAACGGAAAACAATGCACCGACATACCCAAGCCATGAATTATTAATCGCCGTAACCGTTTAGTGACAACCCCTGCAACTGTTCTCGAAACGGTAGCTTAATTTACAGCTTCTTTGTGCTTTTATTAAACTGAATCTGCATGAAGGTCACCATAACCTCATCATAAACAAAAATTCAAAACTACGATGCCCGGAGACCTGAACAAGCACACCGCATTAATGTCAAAAACTTATCCGCCGATTAATAACTGCGATAAAGTTAATAGATTAATATGCACGATTGTGGCAACAATGAATTAAGCTGGCGATCGCCGCCCAAACGGAGTTGTGCAGCGAGAAACTTTGTGCGTGCGACGCAGGCGCGGCGTGTGGCACGTGATATCAACGCATAATATGCATTGCGGTGCTAACGTACGAGCTGCCCAACGTGCCGCACACATACATGCTTCATTATGTATGCATATGTATGCGTTGTATGAATGTGCAGCTACGTGCATGAATGTCGTTGCATTGCGTATCTCGTAAATAAATGCTTTCAACGTATCTTTGCTGCAAAACGTGTTGCCAGATTTGTACATTACCCACAAACTCGTATTTACATACTACATGTAAATGCATATATTTGTATGTGTGTATGTGTGCGTAGTTTTTGAGTCGCATTGACTTTGCAATGAAATTCCGCAGCTCGTTTTGGCATTTGACGCACGCGAATTCAGGTGTAATTGCACTCGCAAATGGCATGTTGCAAGGTTGTAATATACCTATATATGCGTATATGCGCACAACCATTCATTGACGTACACCATTAAGGAGCATTTGGTTAAAATAATTTTACTGCTAATTAAATGCTGGCCACAGGTCATTTGAAGTGGCATAAAATGGCAAACGCAGCACCACTTTAAAGCGAACATATTGAGATCACTCGTTTTGAAAGGCAAAATGAAAAAAATCGTACACAAGTCAATAAAAAATCTACCAAATCTGCAATTCAATGAAAATCATTCATTCAAAGTGTGCAGCTCCCCAATTTATTGGGCTGCATCACGTGCAAATGCAGGGGCCTAGAAAACAGAATATTGTCTCTAAAATTGAGAATTTTCGCCAATTATCAATACCAAGTTACACTAACTACTTGATGTGTTTTCATCTATACGGCTCAGATCTCAATGTTTCTAGTACTTTTTTCGAGATATGGATTCCTCATAGGACCGACTTCTTAACCTAACAATTCCTAGATCGTTTGAGGAGCTTTACCGAAAACTTTTTCCAGGTTAGATTAGGTTAAGAAGGCGATCCTAAGAGGGATCTTATTTGGACAGCTTAGAACGCCGCTCCGTTCCTGTATACTGGATCGTAAGACCCTTAAAGATCGAAAAACTACTTGAGCCTATCACAAATTCGTTGAGACGACTGATATCAGTTTCAGCTGAGCATCATACTGATGTTTCTGCCTCAGTCATGCAGAATATGACGAATGAACCAGCAACTGCCACACGTACGTAAGGTATATTGGTCCAGTGCTTGAACACAAGACGTCAATGGAAATCTAACTCAGTCTGCCTGATAAACTCTTCAATGGCCCAGTAGCCTAAAGCTGAGATTAATGGAGAGCTCCTTAAAGAAAAGTCTTCCTCCAACCTTCCCTCCTAGCTTCGAACCATTCGTGAAAAGGCTCACTGCGCTGCTTCTTCCCATCCACTTCTCCCTCGTCGAAAAATCTGCTACGATTGAACTCTGCGTCATAGGAATTCACACTTCTGCCCCACCCAGTAGACTAAAGCGGAGGTTAACAGAGAACTCTTTCAGAAAACTCCTCCAACCTTCTCATCACGTCTCTCTTGACGAAAAAAGCCGCTGCGACTCAACTCTGCGTCGCAGTGCTCCAAGTTTACAGAAATACATTTGAAGGAAAAAGGAATTTAGGCGTGTCCTGCCGTGTTCGGTCCCTTCATATACCCTGCTTCCATTATAGACTTGACTATGGTTTTGTGCAGCCAAAACACTACCTTTTGTTAGAGTCTCCACTTTTCCCCTATAGCTTCTCTACAGATTCGATGCCTTCCTTTTACTCACCTCAACTTTTTGGCCAACAAGATTTCCATTAAGGACAAACCCTAGCCTACCAATTCACAACCTAACATTTTAATATCAAACCGTTAATTGAATAGTTGAGTAATATTTTCCCGAATAGTTGAAAGCAAAAGATAAAGCATAAAGAATTCAAAATCACTAGAGTCTCGCTAGATGAAAGAAATCTATAATTGCTGCGTACATAATGATAAAGCTTATTAAAAAACTCTGCAATAAATTGAATTTTTTCCGAAATTATGGCAAATTTATTTTTGAGTGAAATCAGGCGGCTTTGATGGCACTAGAAATGTGCCAATCCTGCGAGCATGTTTAATAAATATTTCAGATTTTTCCATAAAAAATGTGTGGCATTTAGATGAACTCAAGTGGATTTAGAAATCGCAACAAATTAGGAATTCAAATGAAATTAGAATGCGCCGGGATTTCTGCCTTACACACAGTCACGCGCAAATTCATGAAAGTGCCATATTTTTTTTTTTATATATATTTATGTATGTGTCTGCCTTAATTACAAAGTGTTCTGTTGTGGCGGCAAGTGTACAGTGGCGCAAATCGCTAAAGTCTCGCAAGTTAAGTGGAAATTTTCGCGATGTTCAGCAGGCAGTGACTGGCAGCTGGCGTCTATTTCAATTGTTGCTGCTTGCCTTCAGTCAGCTGAATAGCTGACCGGCTGGAGGTGGCCGATGCCAGCACAGTGCCACTAATTTGTTTGCCGATTTGACCGAGCCTGCGGCTTGTTGGGGGGCAACAACGCTGTTCATTATGAAAAATGTACCAGCAATTAAAATTGAAAATAAATTGTAAGCGCAATTGTGCAACAGAAAATGTAAGAGCAGAGCTAATGTCCACACACACAGAGTTCACTTATAGAGGACGTAGTCACACGCCCACAATGCATTTGCATAGGCTGGTGCGCATCTGAAACAAGTGTCATAATTAGTGCAACATTTTCAATTTATGCAACGTGCGACAACAGAATTGTTTTTACAAGGCGATTGCGTCATGCTCCACGAACTAATGCTCATTTAGACAAACATTTCATGAAAAATTAATATTAAGAAGAAAATGTATTTGCGTTTAAAGCCGAAAACATTGAGGTCTTATACTTGAACTTGATTTCTTTCTCACGTCTCTGCAATGTTGTTCGAATCGACTTCGAATTTGTACAATTCAATGAAATGAAATTCACTAATCGCCGGTGTAATTGTTACGTGCTTCGTTTACCAAACTTTAGCCTCGCTGGTGTGAGAATTGCAACCAATTGCTCCACAAACGCAACTTGCAGTCAACGTTGTTGAACGAAAGTTTGTTGTTTAAAACACATGAATAAATGCATTTCACTAAACATGTTTAAATATTTTAGACTGCAAGCTCATGACCGGGTTTTACCATTGCCGGAATTGCATTCTAGCGTTCGACGAGATATTGGGTAGTCGAAAAAGTATTTACGTATTAAGTAAGAAAAGTCAATTAGTCCGATGGTAGAATTAGGCGTGAATTTGTATGAAAGTACCCTTGACATTTTCTTCAGGTAAAAATTGTACCAGAAACTTCTATAAGGTTCCTCAATTTTTCTAAAAACGATTTAAATACTCGCACTTTAACTTCATCTTCACGCTGATGTCATTCCAGTAATTAACAAATCAATAAATTCCAGCCATTTTTAAATGTAAAAAACACAGAAAACACCAACAACATAAATAACCGCTCATTTTAATGTAAATGTCTTATTCTTACTGGCGAAATAAAAATTTACCAGCCGAAATATAAACGAGCAATTTTTGTGTTAACATTTTCGATAAATTTCACATTTCCCGCAAACCCCAC